TTCAAAATCCAAACCACCAATCATGATAGAATATTTTCATTGAAACTTCTCTCTCAGATTATGACATTTTAGCAATCAAATTTATAATTATAATTTTTAGTACTAATGCATAATAAATCCTGTTATTAAGACATCTTACATATCACCTGACCTAGAAAATACTTCTGTTTTCTATAATTCCTATTTATACTCTGATTAAAAGATATTTGGCAATGTTTAAAAAGAAGTAAATTTAAAACCTTCTCTTCAGCAAAAACTCATTAAAGTTTTCTATTTTGTCTTGCAAAAATCTTATATAAACATTATTGGCATACCTACAGATTTTTTTTTATTCAGCAACTCAATTAGGTACAAAATTCTTAAAAACTTCAATAATAATTAGAAAAGAATTCAGTTAAACTTAACTATTAGCATATGTTTTGACAGTTTTTGAATTATTATGTGCATGTGTTTTAAAATAATAACATAATTATAGGAAAATATATGAAAGCCAAGAATAGATTTTTTTACAATCAGATACAAATATTTTTAAACATGTTAAGAGAAAATCCTTGCAAATTAAATCAGTCAAGTGTTTTGAAGATGCCAAAACAACTTATTGAAGCTTCAGGTGATCTTTAATTTAGCCAGACGTGTCATACAATTTTACATTAGTGAGATTGGCGGTACAAATGGGGACTTAACAAGGGCAACTGCTAAGGTGTGCAACCTCTTGGAGAATCAGAGTGGGTTCTCCCTCAAGAAAAATTTACTAAAATAAATTAGGGTAGTCACATATCTTTGGGCAAAAACGTTTAAAAATTGGGGTACAAGCCATTTTTCTAGCAAGGAAAATGTCCAACCATAACCTTACTGATGCCACCACTGATTGTCATTTTTAAGTTTAAGATCTCGAGAGAAACCTAGTCTAGCACCAAATTAGAAGGAAATTTTCAATATCTTCCAGTATTTCTAGTTGACTTTCTCTTGCTCTTAGAAATTTACATGATAAAATTGAAAAAGCTTAAAAAATGATTGATATAAATGATATTAAAGTGTTGTATCATAAACTGATTACTATACTTGGTTTAGACAAATACTTACACCCTTTATATGAAGTTCGAGCAATTAATTTAAAAAAAATATGAAATATAATATTTTAATTAATTTGGCAGCCATGTTGTAGTAATAGAATGTATTTAAGGTATGTTTTAAAACCGTGTGTTTGATTAAATAAATATTATTAATGATTAGGGTGTTTTATATAAATAAACACAACTGGACTGTTATCAGTTAAAATACACACACGCTATACAGAAACAAGATAAACTTTGATGAAATACCTATTATAAAAATAAGAACAAAGATTTTCTGTCAAATTTTCTAAATTCATAGTATGAATACTATTTAGAAAAGCTAAAAAAAATTTTCCTACAAAGCTTGACAACAGAAATATATAGTAATTATTGTACTATCAAATCTGCCCACTGCTAATTGTGAATGCACAAAACCCATCTGTTTTATCTGAGTTAAAAACCACAGTTCGCCATTTTATTAGGGGTTGGTCTTCAAAGAACTAGAACTGCACAAATATCGCCTAATTCCCACAAATAAACTAGAAATTTTACTTTCTATTTCCATACTGTCTTTTCTATTTATGGTGAGAGTCCCAGGAGGATCATTCGGGACACATAAGGATTTGAAGGCTCAAGTTTCACTGTTACTAATTAGCTTAACTAAAAAATATATATTTCCGAGACTAAGCTAATGTGGTCAACTGGATGGTGAACTTATCACTTTAATGTAAGGATCTCATTTTGAACAAAAATGATATGATAAATATATATTGATTGGATGGGGTTATTTTGATAGAAATGTAAAAACAACATCTAAGGTATGAAAGCCTATAAAATTGACCTATTCATTATAACCAACTCATAATAAAACATCATATTCACAGATCAATCAAAAAAATTCTGCTGACCGGATTGACAGAGGTTATCAGAACAAAAATATAAGATCTTCCATGATAAAAAGCACCACAAACATATAATTATCCTGAAAAAAGTACTTTCATAGGCAATTTCTAACTACAGTAAATCAATGGGCCAAAACTAATCTGTTTCTTTAATTTATGTATACTCACTTCTATCTATTGAGATCAGAATAAATTAGCAGGGAAAATAACTACACATCTTGCATGAAAGTTATCAGTACAATGGAGCCATTGACTCATTGATTTTACATTGCAACTCATGAATTGATCAAATATTCACCAGAATCTGCAAGCGAGCAGACATAATGACATTTCATTCACCATTTTGTTATATAATACAGAATTATGCTCTCAGCTCATATAACTATAGTCTTGACATTGGCAATAATAGCTGTAATATAAGAATCTTAGCTTAGTGGAAAGTTGGTAAAAGATATAATTATGGCTGGCAGTTATTTGTATACCCAACCCTGAGATTATGTCATTGTGACATTATAAAAGAGTGAGTTATTGTGAAATATTATATATTAATTCTTATCAGAAGAATCCATTCAGAACAGACAAGACTAAAAAATTATTCACAAAGTATTTATTAGTTGTCGTCATTTCAATAATGCTTACATTAAAGTGATACTACGTCTTAGAATGAACATAAAATTTAATTCTCAAGAATGGTCAATATGAGTATATATTCATCAGTTAGCTTACCTGGTGTCATAAAGTTACAACAAAATCCCTGTAAAATCTGGAAAATTCATAAAACTAAGTAATTATTGAAAAACGCTAAATCAATATTAAGCGTTTTTCAATAGCTAAATGTGTTTTTATGGATAATTACTAAGTTTTTTGAATTTATCAGATTATATAAGCATCCTGTTATGTTATTTATGACACCAGGTATATCTATTGATGGATATATGCTCTTATTGGCCAAGTTTCAAATTTTCATTCTAAGACGTAGTATTCCTTTAAAGGTGGCATCTGTATCTTTAAGGAATCTAAATCAGATTCCAAACTGTTATGTAGCTGACCTTAAATTTCAGGATTTATAAAAATTACAATAACTACCGGTAAGGGTGTTATGACATCATTGGCAATTATTGTACATGAGGGCAATTCTTGAATTAATAGAGAATAGTCTGGAAGTGTTGACAATCTTTAACAGTACTTTCAGGAGAATTGTATGAGAATCAGATGTGGGATGCTAATGATAAGAATAACTGAAATTAAGTTCTATCAACTAGTAAAATCACTAAAAGCAACAAGTTTTCACATTTGAAACACAGGATCAGCTTTATCAAATGTAAAGTTATGTTTCCATCTGAAGGTAATAAGATGAATAATAAGATGGCAGTATCCCTTTGTCTATTTCCTGAAGAAAGAATCTGAAGTAAAGTCAAGCAGACTGTATGATTTTGTCTAACTTACTGGAAAATTTCTTGAATTTCAGAATTTGGCCAAGAGTGACTTAACTAAGAGTCTTTCACTCATGTCTATATAACTTAGTATGATCAGCCCTAGGGAAATGGAGAAAAGATCACATTTCTGGTTTTCTACTAGTATGTATAAGTTAATGAAAAAAAATCTGATAGAAACACTAGTCTTATATTTCATCCAATCTTCAAGTGTATAAAAGGTCAGGGTTTTATTGGGTTACTATAGAAAATGGCCAGACAGTTTAAGAACCACTGGGTCAACAGTAGGGAATAAGAAATGAGAAAAAAGAAGATAAGTATATTATAGTAAGATATTAGTATTGATCCTTCTGTGTTAATGACACCAACTGTCATGGAAACTTATCTTCACCTAGGTTTCAATCCAAAAAAAAAAAGTTATATAGGCACAAGTTATTTGGATATACTTTCACTAATATTTATAAATTAACTCAACATTTCACATGCTCATACATACTGCCTTATCATTTTCTCTTGATAAAACTGCCTGTGTTTTTTTTTTGTATATATAATATTTATTTACATATTAAGATCAGGGAAGAGGCTTTTACTTATAGTACCCTCTCCTTAAAATACAATGAAAGTATAAACAATGTAGAAAGGAAAACTGTACATGAAGGAAAAAACATATCTAAATCACACTACATATTTGAATTATAAAACGCTGCCTGTATGAACATGTGATAGAAATAGTATATCATGTTCTTCTTTACCTATGCCTACTTTTATATGTCTTACAAACAGTGAAATAGAGTTGTTTCGTATTATATTAAACCTGAATCTATGAAAATGATATTGATTTGAATTTAGACTAGCCAGTGTGTTATTAAATGAAAAAATTATGCAAATTACAATACAATAGTAAGCTATAACTCGTAATTATGAATTATATGAAAGACAACGCATTTGATAGTTTCTAAATAACAGAAACAAACTACTCTTTTCTACCATTTAATACATCTGTCTGAAAATAGTCTCTTTAATCATTGTTTGATGAACATTACATCAAATTTAAATGCTTATGAATTTGATGTTAAAAATGTTGTCAAAGGGTATTTTAACTCATTATACAGATCAGCATATTTGACTGAAGATAGGCATTCATGGAATTTTCAAAATTAATTTTGATATCTTTTGGTGATCTAGACAATAATTGTCAACAGAGATGCATTCTTGATTTGACATGAAAATCACCTATTACTGAAAATTCTTTGGATTATCAGGGCAAGGACAATAGATGTGGCCTTATCAAAATTAATATTAAAAAAACTTCAACCTAATTGCATTATGTTATTACTTATTTTGACAAAAACAATCAAAACCATGTAGCGAACTGATATATAGATGGTAGATGACCCACAATAATATCAGGTCAGAATACTGTCTGCACGTTTTGTTCTCGTCAATTGATTGAGGATTAAAGTTCTTTAAATACATTTGAGTTAGGTTGAGAATAGCGTATATACATTATCTATATCAAGATGTATTATTGATCTCTTGTCTGGGAGGAAATTAAAGTAAAATATATTGTTTACATAAGACTATTGACCAGAAATAAGAAATCTACAAACCTTGTTTGATGACGCTAATTTGACTTTTGTTATTTGCGTCTGTTGACCATAATGTGAAACAATATGTCTTCTCCTCTACACAGCGTATGGTTTTATTATCGGGTAATATCTCGCCGCCATACAATGATTTATCACCAATTGTTCCAGTTCCATCAGAGTATTTGACAGCATTGTCTGTATCATCATCATTCACCAATCCAGTAGCACGGTAAGATTTGTCAGAAAATGCACAGATATTTTCACTGTGAACTGGAAGAAAGAATAAAAAGACTGTTTTTCAAATGCTAGAATCATTTTTATTTAGTGAAGAGGCTTTATTTGTTCCATGTATTTGATGACAAGTGCTCTATCTTTTTTCTAAAACTGAATGGATAAATTTCACGAGGATATTGAATGAAATGTTCAATGGAGCTTAGAGAACTATTGCACCATGGTCAGCTTAAATGACAATGTCATACAGACCAAAAAATTTAACAAAGCCAAATTGCTTATGTACAACTTTGGAATATATGATCTTTGAATTGTCTTGAAAGCAAGTTTGTCCCTTGCGTATTTCTTAGATTAAACCAGTAGACAGTAGAATGTTAACTTATTTCTAAGGTTGGTCTGTATGACCTAGACTATTATTATTGATCCAGCGGTAATAATTTCAATAAATCTTCTAACCATATATAGACTATTTCAATCAATATTCAATTCACCTAAACTTTATTTTCATTAAATAAACATTAACATGTCTGTATCCATTAGTTTATAAATAACTTATTTACTTGATTAATTGTCCAGTCAATTTCATTGTTACACCATTGTCATCAACAATGCACCTTCCTTTGAAATTTGACTTTCAGCTTTAAAGAATGGTTGTTCATATTCTAATTGAAAAATAGCTTCCACCAAATCTTAATTACATCAAACTATTAAATGCCAGTTTAAAGGGACAGGTTTGCCATCTTTTTTTTGACCAATCATACCTTCGTCTCAGAAACAGGAGAATTTCAGATAAGCTATCAGTAAAAGTGTCAACAGCTCACTGTAGAAATTTGAGCCTTTAAATACATGTGTGTCCAGAATTATCTATGTTTGAAAGTTAAAAAGACGAGACACTGCCATATATAGAAAAGACATACATAGAAATAGAAATTGAAATTCTTAGTTAGAAATAATTTGAAGATTTGAGTTGTACATTTATAGTAATTCAGAAGACTATTAACATATATCCAAAACTACCCCCAAAAATGGTGAATCTGTTCCTTTAATATAAATGTATGCGAGTAATTAACGAGACATTTACTGAATGAAAAGTAATTCTAATTAACATGCAGCTTCAGACATTTTTCCTTTTTGTGTGTGGTTTGCATTCATTCTACATCAGTCAACAACATTTATAAAAATGTAGTTTGACCTGATAATGCGACTTGCACTATAATATATGACAATATACTATTAACGGAGCAATGAAATTTTCAACAATGAATACGACCAAAGTAGTGGTTAAGCTCTTATAACACACAGCTTTTTATACGCCCACACGTAAGATGGGCGTATATTGTAATCACCCCGTCGGTCGGTCAGTCCGTTCACATTTGGCTCGTGCTCCCTCTACAGGCTACAGTTCTTTTTGGATTCTTTTGATTTTTATTTTGTATGTCAATGTTGTTATGAAGATGATCCCTATTGATTTTCGTGATGATCGGATAATTTTTCACCGAAATATCGTGTCTGACTTTACGTTTTTCTCTATTAGTTATATTGTGCAACTCGTGCTCACTCTACAGGCTACAATTCTTTACAGATTCTTTTGATTTTTATTTTATATGTCTATGTCGTTATGAAGATGATCCCTATTGATTTTCATGATGATCTATCGATTTTCATGATGATCAGATAATTTTTCACCGAAATATCGTGTCTGACCTGACGTTTTTCTCTATTAGCTATATTGTGCAACTCGTGCTCACTCTACAGGCTACAATTTTTTACAGATTCTTTTGATTTTTATTTTGTGTGTCAATGTCATTATGAAGATGATCCCTGTTGATTTTCGTGATGATCGGATAATTTTTCACTGAAATATCGTGTCTGACTTGACGTTTTCCTCTACTAGTTATATTGTGCAACTCGTGCTCACTCTACAGGCTACAATTGTTTACAGATTCTTTTGATTTTTATTTTGTATGTCAATGTCATTATGAAGATGATCCCTATTGATTTTCATGATGATCGGATAATATTTCACCGAAATATCGAGTCTGACTTGACGTTTCACTCTATTAGCTATATTGTGCAACCCTGTAGTCGCTAAAGACTGTTTAATCATTTCTGACAGCTGCCAGTGGGCATATGTTACCTTGCCTGGCAAGCTATCTTTATTGGTTGGGATAGTAAAGACAATTTTTTCATGTAAAAATGATCAAAAATGAATACAAGTAGCCCCAGATTCAAAGAAAAAAAATGAATCAAACTATCTAGCTATTATTTCATTAGATTTATATTCATTAACCTATTTATTTCTCTTAACTGAGCTTATTCATAAATGTAATTTGAGAGATTTTAAATTGAATTTGAATAAAAATCTGTTCAGTTTGTTAGGCCCCTTTAAATAAAGTTTTAATTGTAATAATTAACAATAAGTAACCAGCATTTGGTTAAGTGTTATAGGTCAAAAACAGTAGAACTTCTTAATTAGTGGAGGATATGACTAATTAGTGCAATATTATACCACTTTAACATTGATGTTGGCACTTTATTCTCCTTTATCAAACTTCCTGGCATTACACACTTCTCTTAGCTTTCCTTTTTATCCAGTTTCTTTCTATGAACTTGGCGTTCAATCAAATTAGATCATAACTTTAGTTTCTTCACCATAATTTCAATAAAACAAGCTGACTAATATCCTCTTTTTACCAATTAAAGAAGGAAATTTACGATTTTCATTTGTCTTAAAGAATTAGTCAGTCTGGAACAGAAATTTATAATTCAATCAAAAACAAGTTCAGAAAACTCATATTAGTGGCGTTTCAAATATTTACCAAATGGAATAAACCTCTCTGATCCATTTCCAACTGTCATTCTCCATTTCAATTTGAAGAATAGATACCGTTAAAAAAAAAATTTGTTTTCCTTTTGAAAAATGTTTGCAAATTTCTTTTTTCACCAAAAGGGAAACATTTTTTTTTAGCCCAGGACAGGACATGGTAAAATCAGTATGTTTTGTGAGATCTCTGTATTATAAATGCTTCCAAGTCCTATGGAAAAATATTGCTAACTGTAGTCAAATCATGATTAAAAGCTATGGTTTGCTATATCCGGGGGTGATTTTGGTTTTGAATATGTAAATTCAAACAAATTCTAACTACTATGAAAATATCATAATCCTTTCAAATATATTCAAACTATGTCTTTCCTATATGATAATTATGAACACCATGTATTAGAAAGATCAACTTTAGATGGTAAACTGTGAACACTATTACTAAAACTTATATTATATATTATATTATTAGCTAAAAATGTTCCTGTTTCTAATACTAAGGTACGATTCGTCTAATGGGTGGCGAATCTGTCCCTTTAAGTTTAAAAACTTTACAATATGTATACATTTTTTTTGGAAATCTTCATATATGGTGGAATAAAAGCTAATAAATATAGCATTTTAAATTCAATGTTCAATGTCTCATTCATCTGTATAAGCTGAAAACATTCCTGCAGAAATGCATATGTATCAAGAAAAAGATATTCTTTTCATTCTAATCCATATTCACAGGTGGAAACATAACAGAATCTTTTGCTTATTCAAAAGAATGATTACAGTGGCCTACTTCAACAATTTACTGTATGACAGCAACAAATCTGTCACCAGAAGTCAATTGGTGCTGGGGTCTACATTTTGTATCGAGGTGGGGCAGGCATGTCACCAATAAGAGTCAAAGGTGCGAAACCACGAGTGGGTTTGGCTGTCTTTCTCTCAAGAAATTTTTTAAAATTAGTAGCCAGAGAGCGCATTTATGTCAAAATCCCAATCAACATCTTTTAGCGACAAAGCTTCACCTTTGCAAACTAGATTTGACAACCTCAAAATTCTGATTGTGAACTGCCATAATTCTCCTTGGAAATGAATCTTCTGTGGTTACAATCCTGCCTGGGAAATGTATTTTCAGTGATTCTAAACACATTTGATATGCAATTTCAAATTATGATGTAACTTGGGTTACACCAATGATGCAAAATTGCTAATCGAGTCATCAAATTTTTTAAACCAATAAGCACCAGTTCCGAATACAAGGTAAGGTCACCACAAAAAGTTTTTAAGAATTAGAAACAATCAATAGCTATTTCCAGTGGTCTGAGACAAAAAATTTTCCAATAAAATAGATCTATTGTGCTATGAATTTTAATTGTTTCTGATATACATTCAAGTAACCTTGGAAGTGTGCACTGACAACATGTCCAGATAACTTTGATGCTCTTGATAGTATCAGAAGATCAGTCTGTGTTGCCAGGCTTTAAGGAAGGCTGTAGAATATCTTTTTATTGCATTACTAAAATTTTGTCATATCATAAAGAATAGAATTATTTAGAGAATATAACCAAGACTTAACTATCAGACTCCCTCCCCATGGATATTGAGCTTGTTAATATTTAATCATTGTATTAATTGATCATCTAGGCAACTGAAATATCAAAAAAATACTGCAGTGATGTAGGCCTATTTATGTATCAGGATAATAACCATACAATGTTCTCAATTATCTACTTATGGTGTATATATCAACTGTTTATACAGTAGCACCCTTATAACGATTTCATAACGCCCTGCACGTGCAATCCACATATTCCCCACGTTCAATTACGTAATCTTGTTGACAAGCACTTGAGGTTAAAGCAGACGACAGTTATATTTGAGCCAGACGGTCTATTATTGACCTATCATCAGCTTGCAGACAGTTCGACGTCTATGTCATTAGCAAACTTTATTGTTTCGAAAGGAAAGTAGAGCAGTTTACGAGACATGGTCGCTGGCAATATTCCTTGCCGAAGTCGCCCCACATATTCTGCACTACATTTTGCACACTTGTTATCAATCTGTGTGCAGTGAAATATAGCGTAAATCGATTCATATGGGGTCACTAGACGATATATCCAACATGATTACCTAATACTTGTAATATACAGTGACATATTATTCTCTGTAATACAAGACTAATGACTTGATTTGAAGTTTTATTATATATATATATATATCAATTACCTACCTTTAATTATATTAAGCCATAATAAAAATATTGTTACTCCTATATTACGGCACATTTTGAAGTTTTTTCACCGCATTCCTATTTGGCGTCAGAGTTAAGACACATAACAAAATGGCGCATATACTTTGCAGCTACACTTTACAGTTATATTCAACCCAGCTGCACAATGTGAAATCCGTCAAATGAGACATTTTCGTTCAAATTCAGCAGCAAACGACTCCAGATCAATTTCAATTCTGATCAGTTGAGAATAGTTAGTCGGAATCGACCACTGGGTATAATCATGACCCACTCCAATGTCGAGACCGACTGGTCGAGTTCATTCTCTCATAGGGTAGTCAGTCTCTTGACGCCAGTTGGATCATGCATGACTTAATCGGCTGAGTTCATTCTATTTCGGGGATTTGATTTAAGGGGTAGCCAATGAGAAAATGCCATTTATGTGCATTTGCATAAAAAGTGGCAATGAAATTTAATATCATCAAAAGATGAAAGAATATTAGATATTATTGTGTTTTTGATTGGCTGTTGAGTACTTTGATATTGAGTTTTCTACTGGAGAAATATGATAGGTCAACTGTTCACGACTCACTATGAATACATCTTGATTATACATGTATTAATGGATTGTTGCTGAGGAGACTGGTTGTCGCCAGAATTCAAAAGATAAACAGGAATCTTATACCATTAATAGCATTATAGTCTTTTATATAATGTAAAAATGAAAGAGACCTCCTACAAGTTCTGAAAAAGGATCTAAACAAAACATTCACAGAGCAAAAAATACATTGTGTTTATCACATATTTGACATGCATGCAAAGAGGATTATGAAAAGTCATGATTATCCACGTAATATAAAATCAGTTTTATGTTACGTAAGGTCAAATAAATTTTAGTCATGTTCAGAGTTGGTTTATATGTAAACCTGGCTACATGGCCCATATTATATATAATAGTCCCTTTTATATAGAACTGTTTGTTCCAAGTGTAGTTGTCAATCTTGTAGATCTATGACCAAAATATCACTGGATGCAACAAAAATACTATTTTAATAAGAACTGGCGCTCTTTACTAATGCAGTGTACACTGCGTAGATTAACTGCCAGTAACCGAATACTACGTCAAAACTGCACTACAAAGTGTATACGTATAGATTTTAAACACATGAATTGTTTTTATAGTATATCATACTGAACTGTTATATACATGTATCGTACGAAATAGAGCAGAGTTCCTCCAAGAGAGCTATATGGAGTATTGTAGGGCCGTATCTAGAAAAGGAGGAAGGGGGAAATATGAATAGTGAATCTACGAGGTCAGTCTCGAAGGGCCATAGCCCTTAAAGGTCAGGGTTAATGGAGCTGCCAGAGGCCCCCCAGAAACCAACGGATTTCAGATGGCCCAAGATAAATTTCGAGCATTGAGAGGGTTTAATTTTCACTTGAGAATAAGGAAGGCACGAGAGAAAAGCCACGATCCTATGGTCCTTCCACAGCGACAGTGAGCCACCATTGATCTCAATGAAGGAATATCCAATATTTTGTGATCTTAGTACAATAACACTATGGTATGCGATTGCATGTGCATTTATGAGTTTGCTCCACATACCGATACTCTGTTTTTTTCTGTATCCTCACTAAAACGAAAAATTTATCTGAATGACATTAACCATGCATGTTTACAAAATTATTCCCAAACAATAGTAATATCCAATTTGAAGAAAGGATACTCTGATTTGATCTTCAAAAGAAACACAAAGCTACAACAAATATATATAATAATCAAAGGGTAATCTTAGTTATTCCAAGAAAAGCTCCAGGACAGCACACAAAACTCACTGCTACTGATTACTATTGCAAGTACTAGTATACGTAATAGTTTTCTGTGGTCTGTAGGCCTGGTAATTTTACCTTGAGATTTCTTTTTGAATTAAAGAATGGATGACGGTTGTATGTTTTATTGTATATGCGAGAAAAACTGTAGATGTAATAGTTTAAAATGATGGATTATTTTTCCTACTCCTATTGAAGGTACTAAATGCCTTACAGAATTTTCATCAGTCTACTCTTTATAAACTGTCTGGTGAGCAGCAGCTAGTAGACTACAGGGCCTGGTATTATTCCCATCCAAAGTAACAGACGATTGTTGCCTTCTAAACCTGAGACAGGTTAAGGAATCATTAGGTGCTAATTCCACTCATGCTGAGATAAACCTCAGACACCACTTCAGGTCAGTGAGAAAGGATCTACCCTGCAGAGATTCAGTGCCCATTCGCAATTCAAAGTTTTCTACTGTAACATTTTAAATCGCTATAAAATTTTTGAGAATTCAGAGTGAATCAGAATTTAACTTGATTAGCCAAACATAAAATTTGGAGTGATAAATGGGTAATCAAATTTTTCAATCTAAATTGAACCCTGCAGAGATTATGATGAAAAATGAAGGTTTGATATGATTGTTTTGTGTAAAGTAACCTAACTAAATGAAGTGTTATCAACTTATATAAATGTCACAGACATGATAAATCACTTCCAAGCACATGTACAATTTCAAACACAACAAATATATTGATATAATCTAGATAGAAAATGACCAGAAAAACACAATGATTTATGTTTTATTTTTCTCAATATAACAGAATTTCAATTAATAACATCAAGATTTCTAGAATATTTAGCACTGAACCTTACAAATTATATACTGTATTAAATTGATGAACATAGACTATTCTTTATGAAAAAAATAGACTAGAATTACTCTAAAGGGATAGGTAAGCCATTTTTTTGACCAATCATATTTTTGTCTCAGAAACTGGAATTTTTTAGCTGAGCTAATCAGTAATACTTTTCACAGCTCACCCTGAAAATTTGAGCCTTCAAATCCATGTGTGTTCATAATATCTGTGTTTGAATGTTAAAATAATGACAATATAAAGAAAAGGTGAGTAAAATTCCTAGTTTAAAGTATTTTTAAAGGAATTATGTGATTTTCGTACATTTCTAGTACTTCTGAAGACTATTTTCATATATTAGAGAATAAAATCAACCCCCCATAATGTTGCAGTTTGAAACAAGGTTTGATAGATCTATAGCATATTACATTGTATTGTATTTATGGTATTACAAAGTTAAAAGAGACAGGTTTGCCATATTCAGGGGTTGATTTGGGTCTTGAATACATGTTAATAGTCTTCAGAAGTACTAGAAATACATGAAAATCTCTTAATTCCTTCAAAAATACCTCAAACTAAGAATTTTACTTTCTATTTCCATATAATATGTCTTTTCTATATATGGCAGAGTCTCAAGAAAGTCATTTTAACTTTCAAATGCAGATAATTCCGGACACACATGGATTTAAAGGCTGAAATTTCAACTGTAAGCTGTAAACGCTTTCACTGATTAGCATGGCAAAAATTTCTGTTTCTCAGACTTAAGAACTTTTGGTCGAACGGATGGTAAACCTGCCACTTGAAGAAATAACCTTTCATAATATGTAATACCATTTTTGACAACCTCAAGAATTTCAAAGTTCATATTTCAAATTGAGAAAGCAGGAATAAGAAGACAAGCTAAAAATACAAAGAACATGACAATTTATATATGTTTTCTCTTCAATATTTGATTAACAGACAGTAATTCTAATTGTGACCTAAAATAATTTAATCACTTATTAACAATCAATTTGATCACGTCAACATATCTTTGATGACTCAACAGCATAAAATGATAAACTAAGAGCATAGGATTTTTATGTATAGGTAGCTTTACACCATAGACATTACCTGCAGTGCAGGCCCTGAATGCAAGTTTTTCGGATATGACTCTCATAACTAGATAATTCGGGCAACCTCAGATACCAGTGGTGTATGGATGCGAATAGGGAAAGCGGTCATCTACATCTAACAACTCAGTTGTATCAGATTTGCATTCAAGACTAATGACCACTATTCTTAATTACAACCATATGTAACTGGTAATCACTGTTTTAAAACTTTTTTTTCTTTCAACATTTGGATTCAGTGCAATAAATGAGAAATATTTTACCCTACAATAACCATGTGAAACTAATATGATAAAAATTTGATGAGCTGAATAATTTGATGAAAATGTATACTTGTATATTAATGTTCCCTATGAAAAATATTGCCAATTTCAATTCTGGTATTTCGTTTTCATCTAAAACTGGATCAAAGCATTTAATATAGCACCACCCAATTCATGACATTGGAAAAGGCCAAAATGTAAAGGTTTTATAGGATTTCATTAGATGCATGTGTTCATTTATCAATAAAATAATGAAAGTGTATTCCCCAAGGATTTAACAAAATTCTATTGACTAGAGCTAGAGAGTGAGGTAAGGAAGAAAAAAAAGGTATAATTAATGTTAAGCCCTATAAAAGCATAATTACAAATTTTAATCTGATATTCAAAGGAATTGTCACTAAGTATCTTGGAAGCAATTTGTATCAAAATTTGTTATTCATAATATTTTGCACAACTGAATTTTTATCTCTACTTTTTGCATTTAAAGTTCAACCAGGAAATTGGGATGTTCCCTTAAGAATGTTTGGTCAAAAACTAAGATGATTAAAGGATTTAAAAATCAACAAAACATATAATGGTAAAAATTAGAAGTTGATTTAAAATCAAGCAGGTGGGTTTTGATTTCTATCACAAATAAAGGAGTATTTGGGTATTTGCTAAATGAGATACATGGATTCAAAATGATAAATTTCCAAAACATATATATTAATGAGATATTTGTACATATCAGAGGATTATTATTAGCACAATCTGTATTAAAAATATGTTCCTATCCAGCATGAATTTTAGGCTGAAACAAACTAAACAATAACCCTTATATTGTATATGTATTGTATATGAATAACAATCAAAGCTTTAAATCATAGTAAAACAAAGATATTAGAACTTATTCAGGTCCAATTGAGAATATTAACAATAATAATATAGGTACATGTAGTTTAAGTAGTAATGGACAGATTAAGTCCAGCCTGTTTGATTTTAATTACTATTTATTATACCCCCCAGAAAATTGGACTGTTCATGTTTTGAATTGGACCTTGATTTGTGATAGTAAATTGATATCTAATGTAACTATCATAATGAATGTCCAAAGTTTAATTGGAATAGATCATATTTTTATTGAGATTATGAAGAGGTTTACCAGCCTGTTTAGTGAGGAATTCCCATAATATATCTGTTCTAAAACAATAAAACTCCATAAAAATCCATGTACATCCACAAAGGGGAAGAATTTGGAAGAATAGTTGATATTTTCAGTTGCTTTCACCTGAATCTGTGGTCTCACTTAACTGTTGTTAGAAGTTTTGAATGGTGCAAATTTTGACTGTACATTTCATTCTTTGACTTCGCTAGGAAAACTCTTCAAAATCATTATAAAATACTGAACATCTTCTTTATGGTTTTTGTCTACTGGACAATATGTATTTTTTTTTTCAACAAACATGCTTTAAATAATGATGAAAAATAACAAACATAACATATATTGCATTGCTATAAAATAAAAACAATAATAACATACCTGTGATAAACTTCAAGAAATACAATATTACAAAATAGTAATGCAAATTACTATGATAGTAATCATCAATTACAAAATACTTAAAAATCCAAAATCACTAAAAGTAATCCAATTATTATAATGGTCTTTTTTTTGTGCAAAATAATCTGCATTGATCCCATCTGATTAAAATGCAGCTCTTGATGTTTTGTTTCATATGTGTGTGAACTCACTTTCCATCTATGATCTGACAAAATTGTAATGAAACAAATGTTCTAGGTCAATATAAAATTCAACTGATCACATACTCTATTTAATTAAGTTGGCAGTACCAGATATGAGGGATTCTGGGATATTCATTGTTTACAATTGACTTGAATTGTAAGCCCACTTTATAACCAATTTTTTTTATTTGATATAGCACAAATTATCAAATTACAATTTATAGAAGATCATGGATGACAAGTAACCTGCAAATACAATGCTAAACAAAACATTTTGATCTGCATTTTAAACAGATTGGCATTGATCAAAAAGATGCTTCATTTACTATAACCCAATTGTTTCAACTGGTTCTCATTTCTCATGAGTTATCACAGGTATGTTAAAAGAAAGACATAATATAAGTTTGGTGGGTATCATTACTAAGTAACTTACCAGTAAATTATTATTTATATCATGTAATACTATTAAATGCCATTTGGGAATTATCATTTCTAATATTAGGTTCTATAAAGGTTATAAATTGGTGTTTACGTATATTTTACACTACATTAAGAGCTTGTTATGGACATTTTGGTAAAGCTGAATTGGAGAGTTCTGACCAGGTTCTGTTGTCAGTTGAATGGTATGGAATAGAAATATGACACATTCAAAATTTTTCTATTTCTCCACCATTTTGAATTCTATCTACACCTAAGCCCTGTACGAGCTTGTGTTATTGAAAGTCTGGTTAATTCCTTAAAACCCAAAAGTTCAGAACTCAGCAATCAACCAACCCCTCAGCTCTGATAGAACCCATTTCTAGCCAATCATTAGCTTTAGCTTTAGGTATATTACTTAATTAATATATTAGGGTGCAAAACATAAAATCATAGCTTTTCAATAATTAGGTAAGGATGGATTTCTCTAAAACAAATCAGTCTTAATTAAAACTTCGAAATAAAATGGGAATTACATTTAGACGAAATAAATTTCAATATGAATAAAAGTGTTTATCTATTTGATGGTTTTATTGAAATGATTTCACTGATATGTAATACTATGTCTTAACAGACAAAATATTTGAGCACTTAAACTTTAAAACAAATTGATCTTTTGGCTGACAAAGTAGAATAAATTTATAAAAAATAAATTAACATAAAAGTAACGCATTGAGCAACACACAAATTTGGCTGAGGACACCACTACAATTATCAAGGCATTATTGAATCAGTTTTGGTTATTTTTCTTTTGGTATTTTTTTTATCCATAATTGATGGTCTTAAATCAGCTCTATACTTGGGCATAATTGTTCAACCTTAAAGTAAAGCATCTCTGTGCCAAATTTCTACATTTTTCGTAACTATTAAAACAAGATTGTTTCTCCAGCCAATATTACAAATAGCCTATTATTGAATTACACCTGTAAGCAATGAAGGTTTTATGATGTCAAAAGGTTTTTTCTGGTAAGTATAATGAAATTTCTCATAAAGGCCTTGAACAACCTGACCAGTTAGCAATGCAATAATAAGGAAAGTTGCATGGACGTTATCTTTTAAGTTTTTTATGACAACAATACTTAAGGATCAGTTCTCCAGAAAATCTATACTAGATATTGTTAAACATTTTGACCAAACAGTTTCATTAAGAGCTTATATATAGATCTAAAGGTATAATTTGGCACATATGATATCCCAATATAATATGTAATGCCTCAACCAAAACACCACACTTTTAACACAAATTATAACAAATAACAACAATACTGATTAATTTCTTCGTTGCACATCATTCGTTTATTCTTCTTTCACTCCACCATTTATTGTAGAAGACGCAGAAAAGGACACACTTCTTTTTTCCCTTCGGAAGGCCGTTTTTAGTCTATCATAGATTTCATGACGAACGGTGGCAGTGAATTTGGTCACTAAACATAAGGCAGTACACACAGCAAATATAAGATTATAGGAAAATATAATATAGAAGTTTCCTAGCCAGTCCATACTTCCAAAATTACCGATTAAATCAAAATTAGTTATACCTGAAAAAACAATTAAAGGCATTTGTTTCAGTCCACTTTTCTGCTCCAGAAAAAACTCAGACGCAAATGGTGGGCAATGAGCAGTTTTTAGACTAAAAAAAATTTGTAGACAGGCCTTAAGATTCTGTCCTAACTATAATTGACACTTTTTTCATGTTAACCCCCTCTGACCGTCATGGACAGGAACTTAAATTTCCTGTGTGTGTGTATCGGTGTGAAATAAGGCAGTTGAGTTAAAAAAAAAATGTCCTCTTACCTAAAGTCTTTGTTAATATTGGTAATGCTGAACTTAATATTAAAATCACAATACAATTTCCTATAATATGATCCATGGCAGTATTATGACTGACAGGTTTCAAGTTACAGAAGACAGGAAGACTATATAAACCAACAACTGATGCAGACATTATATATCTTGTTAATTATTAAGGACTATTAGTAAAAAACAGTGGAATCCATAACAAATGTCAATCATATATCATTTAAGTATCATATCATAGTGCATCTTTTGAATTTCTGTAAGTGATACTACCTCTTAGAATGGACATAAAATTCAAAATTTCAAAACAAGTGTTTATATTCATCAGTTGTACTTACCAGGTGCCATAACTAAAGAATAGAATCTGTATATAGCATGATATATCTTATAAACTAAGTAATTATTGAAAAATACTTAGTTAATGAATTATTACTTAGTTTTACAGTTTTATTGGATTATAAAGGGATTTTTTTTTTGCATAGTTATGACACCAGGTAAGTTCACTGATGAACAAAGACTCATTTTAACCAAGTTTAAACATTTCAATTTTTGATCAACTTAAGAGATAGTATACTTTTTAAATTATCATGATAAACAGCAATTAATTCTTTAAATTTGCAAGTTTTAAGCTGCTGATAATGTACCTTACTCTGCAAGTATTGTGCAATATTTCACTCTGTTTTATCATGTGTAAAATTTATGGAATCTAGGTGACTGATTAGCATTAAGCTTGTTTCCAATACATTGTATTATTTATGTCATGAAATTCTCTTCTGAAATAAGACATTGTTCAAACCAGAAAGAAGCATCAAGTCAAACTAAAAAATTGTAAAGGATACAAAATGAGTAAAATTTCAACCACAGCTCCGAAAACGCCAAAAGCTGATAGAGATGTTATACCAATAACAGCATCCTACAAAATAAATCATTCACTTAATTTGCAACTTACAATCTTCCAAATTATGCCAAATAGTAAAAAAGAACTTTTAAATTTCATAAAGTAACTACTACAAATTTCATTACTTGTAAAATAGCTTATAGATCTCACAAACACTCAGACAGTATTATGGAATAAGCACACTTCTTTAATAAAATATCAAGTGTGCTTATACCATAATATTGGCTTCTGTTTGGGATATTTACTCCTCACTTCTAAATGTTGTTCAAGTCTTATAGCTTATAGATCATATAATTAAGAACAATTATAATATATGAATGTGCCATACCTTAGCACCTTTTGGTAATGCTTTAATACCAACTAATAATAAAAGAGTATTATGTACAACTAATAACATACTAAATACCTGAAATATAAATTGATATACTTTGAAAAAAATACAAATTACGGCATTGAACAAAGTATGAACAGACATTATTCTGAATATCAAATTTTAGTTCATATAGATAATCTTTCATGATTTTATCTAACTGAATTGATACCCTTATATTAATTAGTTGTTTGCATGCAGTAAGTCTACCTTTCCATACAGGTAATCCTGATGAGATGTTTATATCCGAAACATGTAGATTTGACTAGCTCATGTAAAATTATACCATATACATTATAATAATGCCATATACAGATATGATATATATAATTTATGAAGAATGATGAAACTTACAGTTAATGCCAGTAATATTAACATCACTATGGGAAATAATAAATTTCTTCTTAATGGTGAAACTCTTTGTCTTTTTTCTATGTAAAAACAATAACAATATGTTAACATATAACTGTCAATTTTAATCATAGAAGATTTACCATTTTCTCCACAGCTTTCAATATACTGTAACATTATATACCAGTATTCTATATCTCAGAATAAAATAAATACATTCATTGACAGTGTAATCAAAGTATAAAGAATAATGCTAGTTATTTACCCAACTGGTATATTTCATGTTCTGTTTCTGACAACTGATCTTGTAAACATTCTGAATTAGCATGACCATTGGCTATCTGCCTGGGAGCTACAATATAATTATCATGTACATGTATAAACATAGTGCATGTGCTCACACAATTGATCTGCAAAGTCATCTTACAAAAAGGTTGAAAAATCATAAATAGAAACACTTAAAGAAATTTTCATGAATTTTTTTACATTAATATGAAAAACCTGAAATGACTTTATAATTAAAACAAAAATCTGTAAATTTGAATTCAATGTGAGAAAAGATTATCCTACTAGAAGTTATGATAAAGCTAGCTCACGACTGTATAGTGAATATAGTATGATGAAACCCCAATAAATGTAAGCTTATTTCATTACCTAAAGTTTTATACTGAATCTTGCGTAAAATATTTTCTCGTTCTAATCTCATTGTACATAATTCTTCTTCTATATCACGAAAAAACTTTGGTTTAACAACTAACTGAGCCATGACTGTAAACGTTCTGGCAAACCCTACTGGAGTACATACTATTAAAAGGAAGTATTTTACATGTTATTAGTATTCTTTTTTTGTCCCTTTATGACAAGCTTGAGGTGCAATCAGAAAACCATATCTTATGAACTAATCTTTTCAGGAGTTGGATGCTTCAGTGTTCTTGGTGGAGGAAGGAAGCATATACAGACACAAAATTTGCTAAAAAATCTTGTATTAAAGAATTATAGTAAATCTATTGGAGGATTGCTGGATTTCTTTTAATGAAACATTAAATAACGTTATTTAATGTGATCTCTACCCCTAAATGTCGCTAAAGGATAATTTAATGAAACAGGATTCTGCTAGCAAAGCATCTTCAAAGGCTAAAATTTCTGATATAATTTGTCAAATAAGGATGTGAAAAGAATGTAAAATAACTTACATAATAATACTAATACTCCTAGAAATGATACACAGGAATAGAGGTAAGGAAGATATATATTCCACATATCTACAGAGAATAAAAAAAATCATTATTACAAATACTTTTCAACAACATCTGTGGTTATGACCAATGTGTTATTACAATAACAAATTACATATGCTTTCAGATTCTCTTACAGACTTGACAAACAACATTCCGGACTTTGATGAATAAACATATTATCAATACCATTGGTAGTAACAGTCTATGATTGTTGAAAATAGAAATGTTCCTGAAAACTTACCAAATAGTGTTTGTTTACTGTATTTATCATCATTAATTAAAGCGGAAGCCACCCAAAATAATCCCTGAACTAATATAGCTAATAAAAATAATACTATCATTGTCTCTTTAACTCTAGCACATACACCCTAAAATAATAGTAATAATTACCAGATAAAAAGAATAAAATTTGACATTTGTGTAACTCAGATGGTCACATACCTTGATCAAGCATGAGCATGTAAAGATATTCCCTAATATTCACATCACAGTGAGCGTTGTCAGATCAGTCCTGGATACAGATATATACATATTATGCTATTCTTGTTTTTAAGAAAAGAATGTGAAACAATTTAAGGCATAAACAATTAAATGAAAAAAATGTACAAAAACCAAATTTCAGCTTGCAGAAAGTTTGAAGATTGATTGAGGAAAGCTCAACATATGTCTTGCCAGATAATTTGAGGGATTTTAGTACATACCTTTCTGGACCCTGAAAAACCTTCAGCTTCTGTGAAGAAATAGGCAAATGGCATCAAAATGAAGAGGGCTAAATTAGAAAAGAAAAACACTTGGTTCCATAAACCTGTAAAAGGTAAAATCAAAATAAATCAATAACTTTTTGAACAGGCTGGTTTTTATAAAATTTCATTAGCATTCATAAAAAAACACCTTATTATTTGGTTATAAAAATATCATTTATAGATGTTTATCTGCTATATAGCAATAAATCTTCGCCCTTTCTGACTCAAAGATCTAAATTGTTTGATCTCATTTAATCATTTTTCTTTCAAATTTGAGCAGTTAATCAGGAGCAGGAATTTTAAGGGGCAATATACATTACAAAATCTTCAGGCCTGGTTTCAATATATGCTATCAAAAGATTGAGCTGCACTCACCATTTATCAATGAGCTATTTAACCATTTAATATAATAACTATTAGGGTAAAGATGTAGGACTTCGTTGCTGATAATAGATATTGGTAACAACATAACTGCTGCAGCTGATACAGCTGACGTTAAAACACACAACCATAATCTATAATAACCAATAACATCAGATTATTCATTGGTTATTACAATCTATATAACATAACATAACAGCTGTTACTGATATTCACATCAATTTAATAAAGTTAATATATCAAATATAACAATGTATATCATATTGCAAACATGACTGCTACATTCAAATCATTACAAATAATGCATAGGACACTTACGAAATTCGATACACAATAGCATCTTCTTGACCTAAAAAAGAAAGGAAATTTTTGAAGCTTTTTAGATTATTTCTAAATAATTACAAGTCAAAATAATATCTTCTTTAACAAGTTGTGTCGACAGACTAAAGTCTCATTACTTAAATCGTTAAACATAACATTTTAAGGAGTTATAACCATATATATCCTGACCAAAAAGTCAGTTACTTGAAAATCATAGTAGAGATTTTAAAGGAATTGTAAAAAGGTTTTCTAAATTGGTTATGAGGTAACGAGGAACAGATTGCATCAATTTGCACCATTCTAATTTTACATAAGACGTCTCTGTGTTTCCTGCATTAATAATAAGCATTTTATGACATCACTAAAGAAAAAGGCTTTATGTAAAAAAGCAAATTTCGCAATAATAAGTGATGTCATTAAATACTTATTTTTTTATTGAATTGCAGAAACCATTGAAAATTGTAATGGTGTAAATTGATACTATCAGTGTCCCCAATACACATAAAAAATCTTCACTGTCTTTTCACTCCCTTATGTTTTGTATTTACCATTAGACTACCTTGCTTCTATGTATACCAGGTATGTGACAGCACCATATATATATATATATATAGACTCACCTGCATACATATCTTCTGATTCCACTTTCTTTTTATAATGACTTATAATTACATATGAACCAATACACAATAATATAAATAATAATAATGTTATCTGAAACACAACACAATAATCTTAATTACTGGTATTGCCTCCTTAAAAGTTATTGTTATAAAATTGACACAATTTTTCAAAAAAAAAGCATATCTGCTTCCCCAATCTGATTCCAAATCATTTTCTTTATTTTGCATAATACTCTTCTAGACACCTGAAATTCCTCTTAATTTCTTATTGATATACTTCCTCATAAAATTTCACAGAACTTCATAGAATAGAGCTGCAACCAATGTTTTGCCAATCTGTTATTTAGGATTCAATAGGAGTTCATTTTGTTTTGCGCATGGGATCATTAGTTATTTTTATTCAGTCCAAATTGGTCTGCATCACTGATGGGGGAAACCCAGATGAAAAAAGTTATTATCTTGCAAGATTGAACCCTGGGCCCTAAAGTTTGCAAGAAAGTGTCTGAATCATGAGCCACTAACTGTCCTTACTTAACTAAATAGCAAAATATGTGCAAATTGTAATTGGTCATTTTAAAAAACCTACCAACAGAAGAAATTAAATCTAGGCATAGTTAGAAATCCTTCCTATTTAATCACATGGAGAAAAATATCTCCCTAATAGTTTGTCTTCACTGGTCACTGACTACAGTGTTACACTATGACACTATGAAATTCTATTATTATGTGGAGTTTGACATCTCATTTTGTAAAAGAAAAAAAAAACTTACAATATATTCTCGTATTGCATTATGAAATTGACCAAGTTGCTCTTCGATGGATAAATCATGTTTATCCATTTTATGTCTTCCTTTCTTTTCGCGGAATCAAATTGAATAACTACAATATCTGAAAGTGCGAAGAAAATAAAATAATCGTCAGCATTGTTGACATTCCGCCATTTAATAAATTTACCCACAATGCAGTATTTACATAAATTAGGTCAGTGCGCGATTCGATTTTCTCTCATTTTGCGTTTAGCAGTCGAAGGAGAAGGTTGAAACTTTACGCACTTTGAATATTAAATTAATCTCATCCATTGTCATGATATAATTTTGTTGAAAATTGCTAATGTATTATTTTTGGAATCTGAACGGTATTTAAACTTTGTTTGATAAATGTTCCCGTCTTGCTTTTTCTTTGAAGGAAATAACAAGCGACAAGAACGTTTGAGCGTTTTTATTCTGGAGTTATGTCCCTTTAATTGCTTGTATAAATTGAAAGTAGTCCTGTCAAAAAACGTGGGAGAATGTTATCATCCACTTTTGCTTATTTATCATAGGATGCCCGTCATTGTTAAAAATAGATTCCTGTTGTTGTATGGTTCTCAAACTGGACAAGCAAAAGCAATAGCTGAAGAAATTGCCGACAGATGTGTTGAACAAGGTTTACATGCTGATGTCATTTGTTTGAGTCAGACTGAGAAAAAGGTAGGTTAACAAGGCATGGGGATTGGAAAGGAATAAGGCCAGGGAACTGTACCAAGAAAGCAACAACAAACTAACAATATCCTAACACTGTTGAGTACTGTGGATTAATATCCCTGTCAAATTTTTGCTCTTGTTTTACACAAGTTTGCTAATTTGAACAAGTTAGATTATTGGAAAATATTAAAATAATCCAAATTCTATGTGGCTTTGTGACTGATTCCATATCCATTTCACACTAATAGGTAATGGATATGATTTTAATCAAACCTTTTTATGGGGGGCGTATATTGCCGTCACCTCTTTCCGTCCGTCCACAATTGCTCGTAATCACTCTACAAGGCACAATTCTTGACTGATTTCGACGAAACTTGGTATGGTTGTTTGTAATCAACCAAGGATGAACCCTATTGAAAATCAGACGAATCGAAAAATATTTACTATGAGTTATTGCCCTTTTTCTTGAAACGCTAGTAAACACTCTAGAAGGTGCAATTCATGACAGATTTTGATGAAACTTGGTATGAGTGTTCGTTATCGCCCAAGGATAAACCCTATCGAAAATCAGAAAAATTGAAAAATATTTAGTATGAGTTATTTCCCTTGTTCTGTTCAATTTTTAGTTTGTTAACACTCTAGAGGGCACAATTGTTGACAGATTTTGACGAAACTTGGCATGAGTGTTGGTTATCACCCATGGATAAACCGTATTGAAAAACAGTAAAAATTGAAAAATATTTAGTATGAGTTATTGCCCTTATTCTTGAAAACGCTTTCAATTTTTAGCTTGTAAACACTCTAGAAGGCACAATTCTTGACGGATTTTAACGAAATTTGGCTTGAGTGTTTGTTATCACCCATGGATAAAGCCTATTGAAAATGAGAAAAATTGAAAAAAAATATTTAGTATGAGTTATTGCCCTTGATCTTGAAAACTCATTCAATTTGTAACTCAAAAAAACTCTAGAAGGCATGATTCTTGCCGAATTTTGACAAACTTGATTTTGTTATTCATTACCGCGCTGAAGATTGAATATTTGTCTTCTAGAGTTTTCACGAGCTAAAAATTGAACACGTTTTCAAGAACTAGGGCAATAACTCATACTCAATATTATTCAGTATCGCCCTAAAGAGTTCAAAAGAAGTGTTTGACTGAAGGTTGAATATTTCATACCGGTGATTGTTACTGTACTGCTAAATATTTATGTTCAAAATCAAAGCTGCCAGTGGGCGTATATTACCTTGCCTGGCAAGCTATCTTCTATTCAGTCAGATATCAGAATCAGGACAACCACAGTAAAATGTTTTGCTTTATTCTGACAGCTCTATCCTAACACTTCTTAGTATTTAAATAAACATATTAAGTCATTAGGCCTAGGTTCATTTATTCCAGTGCATTGAATTATTGTTTCAGTTTAACATAGAAAGAGAATCTAGTGCTGTATTTATATTATCAACAACTGGTGAAGGTGATCCACCTGATACAGCAGCAAAATTTGTAAGACGCCTTAAAAAGAAGACTTTACCTGATGGTTATTTATCTCAACTAAATTTTACTATATTAGGTTAGTTGTTCAAGACTTTAAGGTTGTTAAATTTTTCTAAAACCTTAAAAAAAGATGTAAAAGGACTAAGACTAAACCATTGGTTGGATGTCATTATAATTAAAGACAGTAATCTTTGAATTGTTTTACATATTGTAATGAGTTAATGTCATCAACGAGAGTTTTCAACTCAGAGCTAGTGGGTAATTTATAATTCTGAATATTGTTTAGACATTATTAAGGCCTTTCTTGTTTTACGGATCCTCTTAGCTTATATTTCCAGAAATTAGTAAACAAACATAAAATAAAATAAGCTCTGCTCAATGCTGGAAAAAAAAAACCTCCATTTCAGATGAAAAATTCTCAATACTGAGAAAATAGGAAAATCCAGGGTAATTTTGGCTTTAGTAAAGATTTTTTTTCTCTCCTATCAGACAAATTTTTTTTTTTTGCCCTTCTGCTTTCACAGATTTTATCAGAGAAAATCCCTAAAACAAGCAAATAAATTGGTCTTGCCTAATGACAGTGGTTGGTTTCCATATTTTAAACTGAGCTATATCTAAACCAGTTTCTGTTTTTTTAGGACTAGGAGATACAAATTATACTAATTTCTGTAACTGTCCAAAAGGTTTGAATCAGAGATTATTAGAATTAGGAGCTCATCATTTTTATCCACCAGGTTGGGCTGATGATGCTGTAGGGTAGGTATTTATCTCTGACTTGTATTACCTTGTTTATACACAGAAAAAAGAAAAAAACAACCAAAGCTACAATGGGCTCTTTAACATTTAGGATCTTGTCTTGTCCTTGGCGAAACTTATTGGCATTAATCTTTTCTGGATTATCTGTAATAATTTTTATCTGGGCACGATGAGAAAGGTGTCCACACACTCAAATAGCAATTGTCCAGAAAAGACTTAAGACTGATGTTTATTTTATAGGTTAGAAGTTGTTGTGGAACCCTGGATTGATAATCTATGGGAACCTCTTAAAAAACAGTTAGCACAATCTCTGCCTACAGCTTGTCAGAATAGTTTACTGGACAGTCAGATGAATGGTTTTGGAGGTGAAACAACTGTAACTATAGATAAAACAAACATTTCAGAATCTATAATGGACTCGGGTTCAGACACTTCAGTGATCAAACCAGTTGAATTAAATACAAATATGAACTCCAATGGAAATGTAATTGTGGAGATAGACAATAGTGATATAGGTGTGAATCAGACTGTTACTGTTGCTAGTTTAACTGAGTCTATACCACCATTATCTACCATTGGTCTCAATTTACCAACTTTACCACCTCCTTATATACATCTACAATATAATACAGATAATATATTGGTGAGTCAATCTTACCAGTTATGAAATCTAACACTTGTTAGACACAAAGATATATTCAGAAGTAGTATATCCATATGTTTTCAATATAGTATATGCATTCAAGAGCAATTATTTTTGAATATGTTCAAATACTGAAATGCAATTCTATGTATTTGGTTGCATTTGATTCACCCATTCATTATAATTTTTGCATACAATGATATATATTTTTGGATATTTTGTAGGATGTATCTGAAATACCAATACAAAATGGTTATGAGTTTCCTTCTGCAGCATCAGAAATAAAATCAGTACCAATAACATCAGCTACAGTACTAACTTCACCTGATGCTGTGAAAAAAACATTGAAACTTTCTATTGGTATTCAGGTGATTAGAAAAGACTTTCACCTTTTGGTATCACAAAACTTTTTCACACATTTTGTATTTGTTGATTGATTGATACTTGATTTTTTACTTTGTTGATAAGTTGATTAAGTTGTCTATGCAGCCACCATTAAAAATAAACCAGGAATTTCTTTATATCCAATAGGAAGTGATGTTTTAATGTTATTTATTTATATATATTTTAGGATAGTAAAATTACATATGAACCTGGTGACTCAATATCAGTTATTTGTCCTAATTCTACAGAAGAAGTAGACTCTATTCTGAAAAGGTATGTCTATCTAATGATATCTTCACAATTTCAAGATGGTATACCTTGACTCCTATAGCCATCTTTCTTGTATAATTGAAGTTTGTAAATGCAGTGATTTGATTGGATTGTATGCTCAGCAAATACAGCCAATCAGAGGCTTTGAGACAAAGATACTAAAGTCTTTACAGTCTTTCTGTTGGTGCATTAAATTGGTTAATTAATTAAGATTAAGTTAAATGTAATTTCAGGTTAGATATAAGTGATGAAGCTGATTGTGAAGTTAATTTATCTATTATACCAGAAACAACAAAACGTAAACCTACAATACCATTGTATATACCAGAATCTTGTACATTACGCTATATATTTACTACTTGTATAGATATTAGAGAACCTCCTAAGAAGGTAAGTACTCTTTCTGTATATTTCATAGTTTAGAAATATTCAAACAGAAATTGAATCATGTTGTTACTCATAGTTTCACACTGGTGCAATCTAAATGGGTTAAATCAATAAGGCAATTTATAGGCTATCTTAAAGTTGTTGTTTTTTTTATTTTCACTTTTGTTATAGTTTTTCATTCCAAGGGAAATTGTTTATTAAAAGAATTAATGCAACTAAACTTTTCTAGTTTTGATTATTGTTTCTGGTGCTAATCTCTCTAGACATACCCTGAAGCTGACTATTTCTTCAGGGGATTGTGATTCATATTGTGAAATTTTATTGGGTGTAAATGATCCACGTTTTGTTATTTGTAAATAGATAATGGATAGTATTATTATAACTAATCGATTTATTTGACAATTAACTGCATAGCCCATTCCTCTTGTTACAAAGCTTTCTTTTACATCTATAGGCATTATTACGAGCATTTGTAGAGTATACTGATAATCCTACAGAGAAACGGAGACTACAAGAATTATGTAGTAAACAAGGTGCTAGTGATTATGCTCAGTTTATTAGAGAGAAAAATTTAAGTATTCTGGATATTTTAACAGCATTTCAATCATGTCATCCTGCTGTCAGTTCCTTAATAGGTAAGTCCTGTAATGAAACATGGAGAAAGATAGCAAACAACATTAGCTTTGTATTGGGTAATTAAAAGGAATTTTCTTTTAAGTCAACCTTTGATTAAGAACCACATCTGATATTTTATAGAAATGAGCAGACATCATGTTGAAGGATTGATAAATGCCGATGTAAGACTCAAGTGATATGCATGTCATTTGAAGAGTACAAATGTGTCAATTTTTTTTGATGTTTTTCTATTTGTAGAACATACAAGTCGCCTGAAACCAAGGCCCTATTCAGCTTGCAGGTAAGTTGTATATTTATTCTTGAATTAAAGACAACATTTTTTGTTTTTTGGAATGATTCTCCAAGAGTTATGGTTGAATATCCCAAGATAATTGTCAAGCGTAACGATTCAGCTTTGTTCAGTATGAAGGTTTGACATACGTTTTACTTCATTCTCCCCATTTATTATTGAAAAATATAAGTTTTACTCATGGTTTCATATTTTTCAGTGCACCATGCATAAATAAAAACAGTCTATCATTTGTATTTAATGTTATTGAGATCCCTGAAGGTGAAGGTCGTTGCTGTGGTCGTCAAGGAGTTTGTACTGGATGGTTGGACAAATTAACAGAATCTATACAAAGATCTTATAATAAACAGAGTTTAGAAACAGAATTGGAATCATTATCATTAAGCTCTTCAATACAGGTAGGTTAGAATGTTCGTTTTTTGATAAGAATAGGATCTGAATTAAGTTTTTATTTTCCATTCTGAATCAGACACCTTAAATCCCAAAAAGCATTTTAATCAAATAATCTATGCTCATTGATTCAAATTGATTCACAAAAAATATAAAAGGTTTGTGTTCAATCTGAATTGTTTAGTAAACCAGTAACAAAAAGTAACCCCCTGCATTAATACATGTATTAATATATTATATTGTTATTTTTAGATTCCTATCTATTGTCGAAATAATCAACACTTTCGACCACCAACAGATCTGTCTCGTCGTGTGGTATTTATTGGACCAGGTACTGGTGTGGCTCCATTTATTGGATTTCTAGCTCATAGACAACACCAGAGGCAGTTAGTTGATAAAGATACTACATATGGGGATACCTGGTTATTCTATGGATGTCGACATCCAAATAAGGATTTTCTTTTTGAGTAAGTCTTAAGATTGCTTAATTTGAAATCTCTCTGTTGAAGCAAAATTAATGATAAATTAGTAATATTAGTTCACTACAATATTTGTAATATATGGTAGAATACATCAAAGCAAAGCACTGTTTGAGAAAATGGTGAAAAAATCTTAGTTTCATTTCATATGGGTTGTCAAACAATATAATTATATAATTTGAGATATTGTTAAATACTCTAGTGGTACGTCCATATTTTAGCAAAAGGTTTTTTTTCCAATAAGTTTTTAAAATTAATTTGCTTTTCAAAAGATCTTAATTTGGCTCATTTTAACTGATTTATTTCAAAAATAATTTGTGAAGCTACAGTTTAGATTTTTGTGTTATTTGTAGGGAAGAATTGGAAAGGTACAAAGAAACAGGTGTATTGACAAAACTTTGTGTCAGTGTTTCACGAGACCCAGATGTACTAGACAAACCAAAATATGTTCAAGACTATATATTGCAAGAAATAAACAGTATATATGATATTTTAATAGATGACACTAGTCTTATTTATGTCTGTGGTGATGCCAAGAACATGGCCAAAAATGTGAATGAGGTCTTTATGAAGATATTGAAGATAAAGAAAGGTATGGACAATATATTTTACTTGCTGATAGATATGGTCTTTATTATTGGAACTCCAGCATTAAATCCAGATTTTGAAAAAAAATCAATTTTATCAAATATGTTGATCTGTTATAGTTGTTGACCAAAATTACTTTCAACTTAGATCTAACAATGGACCCTTCAGCACATCTGCTTCTGTTTCAAGGCATAAGCATAAGTAGTTCATACTATTTGCAGGTAGTTCAAGTAGGTTTGAACACATTAGGTGTTAATTATGGCTTGTTTCAATTTCTTTTTGTTTTGCTTATAAAAAGTATAAAGAGTACTCATGTTTTTTTTTTATTGAAATCCGACCCAAATGTGTAAATATCTTTACTGGCTTGAGCATATAAACTGAACCGTGTTATCTTTGATTTTGATCAGATCTGGTCATATTCAAAAGGTCAAATGTAGGTTCTAATTACTGATTTGAATTTATTTCCAGGTATGACAGATGATGAAGCTAAAGCATTTATAATGACCATGAGATTACATAAAAGATATTTTGAAGATGTGTGGACTTAAATTATAATTTATTTCTAGCAACACAATTGTGATATGTACAAAAATATTTTAAATGTGCCATTTTAAAATTTGTAAATAATTTATGTGGGTGAATCATAATATTTGAACTTAATATTTTAATTTGATTGGTTTGTTTATGACTGAAAGTTATCAAAATCTTTAAACAGCTTGATGTAGGTAACAACTAGTTTATGTAAGAACAATCACTTTTATTAACAAAAATCATTAATATAAATGTGGTAGGCTACATGAGTTAAAATCATGATGGAAATTACTATTTTATGATTTACACAACTAATTTTCATTCAGCATTTTGTTAATTTTCCATGAGCTATAATAGGCAGAAGGAAACCCACACAAATAGAATTTTATCTGCATTATGGTACTATCACCAACAAGACAAGCTTGCAAAACACTTGGGATTTTTGGTTGGATTTGACCACTTTACTAATAATTATTTTTCAGTGATTTATGTAATTGAAGTAAATAAGTCAATTTTCTTCAATCATTAATGTTCAGAACATTCATTTATTCATTCTTTAATTTTGTATGGATGGCCATGTTTTTCCCATTCTAATTTAAAACCTATAGCAGATGATGTTACTCCACATAGAGCTGCAAGTCCAGGGCTAACATAGTTTAAAGATGACAGTGGAATGAATATATCACAGAAGTCTTTTAAAAAAGTTAATTGAGCACCATGAAAATCTCTCTTTAATAGCTGCACATTATTTCTATGATGATGGTCTGATTGGCCATGTGGTGTTTTGGCTTTAATGATTTGAGCTTTTATGTCATTGAGTTTATGAACATCGATAACAGTTGCAGTCACTAGAGATACTAACCAGGCTCTAGATGCCCATTGGGACCATGTCTTCATTTGAATCTGAAAAGAAAAGGAAGTTGAATAAGATCATAGAACACCAGTATTACACACAGTAAAATCAATATGATAATCCCATTAACTACTTTTTTAAAACTCATTCACTGAACCATTTCAAAGACATATCTCTACACTTTTCAGTCAGACATCTGTGGATCTTGCATTTTACAAAAAAACAACAATTAATAATGCAGCTATTGCAAAGTCCCTTAAACATGAGCTTTTGAGATAATGACATTGTATATATGGTTTCTATATTAATAGGAACAACAAGCATCCTAAGAAAAGTGAAATAATGCAAGTAAAAGCAACAAATGGTAAACCTCTTTACAAATCCTATCATGTTAGTGATAATAATGAATTCTTTCAAAAGTAACTTAATTGCCTCAATTGGGGCATAAAAATCAACCAAACCTACCTGAACTGTTTCGACTTTTCCTAACCAAATGACATGGTCCATTACTAGCCACAAAGCTTTAAAGCTATGTGTAATTACACCCAGTAAGGCTTGATATGCATCCGGTCCTTTAAAACTATCTTTCACTTTAATCATTAAATCAAAACTATTTCCCATACGAAATACTGCAAAATAATTCGATAGCAAAATAATTAGATAACGGTAAAATAAGTCATCTTAAGGACACATCTTTATTAAATTCAGTAAAATTGTGGTGCTTTACTTGACCAGATAAACCTAATGATTGAAGTAGAAGAATCATATAATGTAAAATGTATCATAACTTCAAGATTCTTTTGCAATTCTTCTCATAATTTCTATATCCATGTATGAATTTCAACCTACATTTCCTTGAAAGAGAAACAGCTTCTTCTAGTTTTTTCACCTTGTAAGCTAATCTTCCAGTTGCCCCAACCTTGCTAAAATACCATAATACTAATCGACTGCCATACTGAAATATTCTGAAAATAGAAAATAGCTTTCATTTCAACTGATAGCATCAATTCGCACAATTTTAATTTTTTTTTTTATCAGGCCATGTATTCTCATAACGATCTTATGTTAGAAGATAAGAACCTAGGACATCCTAGCGCTAAGATCATTTTCAAGAATATGTGGCCTGATGTTTTATGATGTCTGCACTATTTCAAAAGTCCTTTTAAATCCATAGCAGCTTTCGCAATAGTGAGTCATAAAAAGTTTATGCTACCATTAATGGAATTGCATGAGCCACAGATGTCTTACAGACAATTGGAATGGTGCAAATTGATGATATCATTGTCCTCGATAGGTCTAAAGTTTGAGAAAACCTCTTCACTATCCCTTTAAGAACCAGACATTTTGCCACTAGGCAACTGTAGTATACTGGGTTAAGAAATTTTTACAATATCAAAATATTTTTATTACTGGTAGTGGTAGTGCCCAATACATCAATTATCTGGAGCCATAAGAAAGAAAGACAAAAGTTATACAGAAATTTTCTCTCACAGTTGACCTTGTAAGGTATGTTTACAATGTCAAGCTATTATGAACTTCATTTTATACTTGACTGCAATAGCCACCTTCCTTATTATATATATCACTGAATATTCAGAGATTTGATCGGATTGTAGGCTACCGAATACAGCAAATCAGTGTCCTTGACAGAAAGACTAAATATTTTGGCTTAAAGTTAACAGACTTTCTGTCAGAAGACTCTGGTTATATGCTAATCAAATAGCTGCATTTACAAGCAAGAAAGTGGCTATTGCTCTTTAATTAATCAAGGTATTAGACGTAGGCCTATAACTTTTAAGAGAAATTTTGTAATTATAGCTTGACATTGTGATGTAAAACAATGTGAAATTAATTGACACTTCGAAATCATTGGTATATACTTTCAATTTAGAACTAGCAGTTATCTTGTCTAGACTAGCACAGGAGCTTTCTTCATCAAGGCGAAGAGTACGTAAGTAGGCGTGGTCATTAAACTTCTAAAAAATAAAATAAACATTCCAAAGAACAATATACTGATACCTGAATAACTTGTCTTTTGACTGCGTAAAACTATTATATCTAGCTATATCTCTTGACAGAGATGTCATGGTGAAAATGAAGGTAAACGTTAGTGTTTTCACCGTTAGATTGAGAAAATAAAAAAAATGGCTTTACAGTTGAAGGGAGGCAACTCCACAAAACCAGCCAGTTCCGCCGTAATAGAGGCTTTGGATTTGCAATCTAAGATTGATCCGAAAACCTTTGATCTTCATTATATTGTGCCACTCTTATTAAACTTACTTACCTTTATAAATGAAAGAACTAATCATTTCTGATCTTAAATAAAATGATAAATTTGGAGCATATCCTTAGTTCCATGATTTAGTTTTGAGCGTTACTGTACACATCTTTTGATTTTGGCGGAGAAAGTCGACAAGTTCTTCTTGAAATATCTCTTGTCATACATTTAATGCTTATCTGAATCTTTCACTGATGTCAGTAGTAACTGAAGTGTTGACCTCTGCTGGTAATATATCTCATATGAATCCTGATAAATTTCATGTTCCCAGTAGTTCAAAACTACTGAGTAGTAGTCCTAGTCTACACATACGCAAGTATAATGTTTAGTCCGAAACATCTGTCACATTCCATCCTCTGATAACTACTACATTGATAGAGTAAGGTAAAAAAAAAATACTTGGCGCTGTTCTATGGTTCCGAAGGTGCTAAGGATCTAAACATATTTATTTACTTCGAATTCTCTGAAGGATGGATATTTTTGTAGGTCAGTCATACCATCAGATCACTTCATTAAATCTATCCCCCTCCATAGGGTCATAATTTATGTCATGTCTGCATCACATCCGCAATTTTTGTGTAATGAAACTGATCTCTTGCCAAACTGCCCGTTATTAAAGACTGCATTACAGGGTCACGTGATACTAAGAAAACAAAAGGCCAAGGACTAGACACACACTTCTCAGGGTGAATTTTCAGTCCAAAAAGGGGGTACTTTTCACATCAACTTTATTGGAGTGAGAGGAAAGTGTGTAAAATCACTGAACCTATTATTTCTCTGAAATGGCAGACAAAAAGTACTCTTCACATAATCAAAAACAAAATATACTGGACAGGTACTGATTATTTTATGAGAATTGGAATATTGACTTGAAAATAGTAGATACTCTTCTAAGCTAAGAATGACTTTGCTTTGATGATAATGCAAATACTAAGTACTGTTTTGCAAATGACAGACGTACCTCTCCGTATTGAGTATTGAAAGTAAGCAATGTTTGTATGTGTGTTATTTGATTTTTGCGGTGCCTTTTAGACTAATGGAGACTATACTGTCACAAGATAATAGGCATATAAAGTTGTTTTTTTTTTATTATAATAAATTAGCTCTAAACCTATAGTTACGCTACATGTTTTGAAGACTGGACACTATTACAATACTGATATAAATTAATTTACTCTATTCTAGGTCAAATTGATAAACAAGAAGTACATGGTAAAGTCAAGGCTTTGACAGACCATATTAAAGACTTACAACATGGGATATATAATAGTATAACTGAAAGATATATAGATTTTTATCCCAGTTATAATTCTGTCTCAGACTTGGCAAATGAAGTCGATTCAGTTAAAAACCAAATTGAGGCTGTTTCAAATAAAATTGATTCTGAGGTAACGCCCTGCTTTTCTTTTTCTTTGTGTGCACTGTGATTACTATTACTGATAAGCTTAGCTAAAAAAATTGGTCAAATGGATGGTGAACCTGTCACAGGTTACCTAGGGGTTGACTTTTTTTTTATTACTTTCGAGTTAAACAAATAGTCAAAGTCTTTATTTTTTTAGATTAAAGATCAGCTAAATGTTTCAACAGCAGAATTTCAGACATTAACAAGGGAATTACAAGAAGTTAATGGAATCCTGCTGGTTTTAAAAACTCTAGTAGAATTGCAGGATGCATTGGAAGATGTTGCAAAGGCAAATAAACAGAAAAAGTTTGGACAAGCTGCTGACTGTTTGGCAAACATCCATGACATTCTATCCCGACCTCTATTAAATGGAGAATTTGAAATCAAGATTTTAAATGCCCTGAACACTGAAAATAAAATACAGAAGCAGAAGCTGATATTTGATCTTAATGATGTATGGAAAGAACATGTCGTCTGGATCTCACCTGAACCCAAATCTACATCTGGAAATCTAATAGAATTAAAACTTATCACTGGAAAGGATTCTTTACAAGTTCTTGAGAACATGATATCTGCCATGGAAAAACTGAACATTCTAGACTCCAAAATCAAAGCTTTTGGTGAACTGTTTGTGAAACATATAGTAAAAAATCTTTTGTTACAAGATGCAGTAGATCTGAAAGAAATGTCTACTAGTAAAGAAAAATCACTTAAATTAACTTTGAAGTCTAAAGTAGAGCATATGCCCCTTAATGTGAATCTCTTTCGTAAATTTAATTTGGTTATGGACTTTTTGGCTGATAGCTTTTTCAAATTAACAGTAAAGTGGAAAGAAAAGGAAATATCTTTATTAGAATTATTAGGGTATGGAATAGCAGACACTGTTGTTGACCTGATTATTAAAGACTGTTTGTCTCATGCCATTCCTTCCCAAACAGAAAAACTGGCTGATTTCTTCAAAGTAATTGATTCTACAGAAACCTTCCAGAAAGGCTTGATGGATGCCAAATTCCTGCCCGAATCAAACACTGCCTTGATGAATTATGTAGGAAATGTCAATGTACTGTTTGCTAAAAAGAAATGTCAAGAGATTTTAGAGAAGGCAAGGAAATTGATCACATCTGATATTCATGACACCTTTGAAGTATCACCTGATGTCACTCTCCATCCTCTACCACCTCTATTGAAAGATAAATCCATTTCAACCTCTACACCACCAGTTCAACTGGCCCATGAAGAGAAACTAAGCCCAGATGCCTTTAAATTGCCTAAATGCAGAATAAGGTATGTTTTTCTTTGTTTGTATTTTTGGACTGATTACTAACCAGTTAGAGCTCATTTTCAGAATCTGTTGTCTACTAGTAAAGAAATATTATTTTTTTGATTTATATTGATATAAGTTACATCTTGGAGAACTTCATTAGGTGTCTTTGATACTTGATTGCAGACAAACTGGATGTAAGGTTTTCATTTTGAAGAGTCCAATGTTATTTTGATTAATATGCAATTTATATTGTCATGACATTAGTATTATTAAATATGGAATAATGATTTCTTATGATTTTTTGTTTCTTTTTTAAAGTTTGTCAATAAATAATGTGGTGAATTTAGCGTATGAGATATTAAGTGAAGCAAGTAGTAGTTCACCAGAATGTGCTGTACAGATGTTTTATGCAGTTAGAAATATATTTGAATTATTCTGTAGTGTATTTCCTACCTATCACAGACAAAGTCTTAATGCTCTACCACAATTTTCTGGTGAGTTTTAGTACATTAAACTTCTTCTGATGTCCATTTTGTATTGATTTTAACAGTTAATTCTGTTCTATTATTCTTAATTCATATACTCTTTTTCATTTTTCATATTATGAAATACAATAACAAAATATTTTCACTGTTGAAATAGTGCTCAATACTCAATTGTAGAGCAATATTGAAATATCCAATTAGCTTATTCAGGAAGAATCTGTATTATAGATATTTGATATTAGCTTATTCGTCTAAATATAAATACAGCTGATAGTTAGTTTTTAAGTTCAACTATCTTTTCTAAATTTGCATCCAATTTTTTTTCTGGGAAGCTATGCAATGAGTAGCTCATATGTCAGAATAACAGAGAAACTTATTCTGTAATTATTTTATTTGCAGCCTTACATCATAATAACTGTATGTTTATAAGTCACCATTTAATGACGTTAGGACACCAGTTTAGTTTGAAGTTACCTCCTACTATTAATTCAACGTTTGTTGATCTTATACCTAAAATACGTGGCATTGGTACTCAGAGTTTTATGGATCAGATGAATTCTCAAAGAGATTTATTACTAGAATTTTTACAAGCTGCTAATGGTAAGGATAAAGTTTGGATATTTTTCAAGCATGCTATTTTATGTGTAGCCCTTTTATACACATGTTTCAGATAAGCAGTTGAAGGATTTAAGGATTTTTGGTCTGGCTGCAAGAATGGTAGGCTGCACGTAATCCTACCATATACTTACATGTAGAACCTGATTCTTGATAATAAGGAAAACCTTAAGCATTGCTATCCCACAATTTGTTATGTTATCACAAAACATGACATGACACTCTTTGATTAAAACACTCTATGGTTAAAGGTAACATCATTAGAACAGAACTGTGGTAGAAAACTTGTTAGATTACAATGGAAAACAAAAAAGAAACAAAATCTTATTTTAATATTAAATAGATTTAAATTGTGAATAACTTTGATTGCCTGAAAAGTTTTGGTCCTTTATTTAATTTTAAATTTGGAGTTTTGAATAATTCAGGTTTTGCTGACATGTCTAATGAAGAAAAATATACAGTTGGTGAGAAGAGTATTATTCAATGTCTTCATCAGTTAAGTCATTTACAAAATGTATGGAAAGATATATTACCTGTTAATATTTATAGGAAAGCTATTGGTGAGTGAGTGGATATTTTCTAATCTTTTGTTTTTATTATCCTGTCCTTATACACATCCTAAATAAATACCTGATATTTTCACTATTATCCAAATGAGTAAATAAATTCCCTCCAATGCACACTGAATCTTAAGGTTTCTGCATTTAAATCAGATTGAAAAGAAGTATGTGTTTTATTTTATTTTATAGGTATGTTGATAAATACTGTAGTTGTTGATATTATTGAAAGTGTTACTACACTAGAAGATATTTCATCTTTTGATGCCAAACAACTTGATACATTAATGTCTACTCTCAGTAAGAAAGCCGAACCTTTCTTTGCTATAGAAGGGGATGATGGCAACCCAAATATAGAACTACAACGCAATGTTACCAAATGGAATAAATTCAAAGAGCTTAATTTAGTGCTAAATGCCAATCTTCAAGATATTTCTGATAGATGGGCTGATGGAAAGGGTCCCTTAGCTATGGCGTTTACACCCAATGAATTGAAGCAGTTAATTAGAGCTTTGTTTCAAAATACAGATAGACGTGCTACAGTTCTAGCTAAGATTAAATAAATGTTATAAAGATAGCTTTCTTGTAGTAATATTTTGCATCAGACTTTTAGTCATTAATTATTATTAGCCTGGCTGTTATTGAAGCTGTTTATTGAGAATATGATGATATGTCATGTAACTTGATCTGTGGCTATAGATTTGTTATATTATATACATTTGGTGCTGTGAATTTATTTATGTTCTAGAAAATGAAAAAAATGTGATATTGTTGGTTTTATTTATTTCTAAAATATGGTGATAGACAAACAAAGAGTTTATTATTACCATACACACAATCTGACAAACAAGACAGTAGCACCTCATAGCACGTGGTCATACTATAAATTTGTCCAATGCCCCTCCCTACCTTAATAACTCGTACTTTTCTTGGCTTTTGGCTTCCATCCAGCATCCTTTTTCATGTATGTGTATAAATGAATTATTGTAATGTTGTATATACACATAAGTCACCACATGTAAATATTTAGCAGGCAGGCAAAACGTGCTCAAATTTTCCTCTAATGAAAATGTCAATTCGTGGAGGACAATATTGTTGTTGTCTGAGTTAAATTGCAGTAGTGTCCCTTTTATTCATGTTGACACCAGCTGGTATGATGTGATGAACTCATAAAGACAGTGTATGGAGACAGAATGAAGTGAAATATCATGAAAGGTACGTTTAAATGAAAGTAATGACATTGATAACAATTAACAATATTGTATGTAAATCGATGAACTGATGAAAGTTATACCAGACTAACCAGTATGGTAATACAATGTTGTAATAATGTTTCAATGTATATATCATCATTTTATAGATTTATTTAGAGAGAAGTTGTGGCAGTGGCGGAGCCAGGTTTACGGGGGGCGAGATATCTGAGGTTGCCCGAATTTCTAACTTAGTTATGAGAGTTTTGCACACTATTGTTATTGGCAGAGTATTTTCACTCTTTCTAGAACACATGATATGTCGAGTTTGTCATACAATATTTATTGAAAAAAATTGAAATCTGTGCCCGAAATGCCTTTTTTTGGTTGTGTAAAAAAAAGTTCTAAACTCTATTGGGCGTCTAATTTTTGAAATATGTAAAATATAATCATACGAATAACATTCGGGCGGTGATTTCGATCCTTAAATAATAGAGTCAGGGCGGGGGGAGTATATGAATTATGAAATATTATTGTAGGAGAATACAATCGGGCTATCAATATAAAAAAATACAGTTATAGTATAGGATATTCGGGCAAAGATGTGATTTCATTTTTAAATTAAAAAAAAAATAATAAAATCGGGCCGTTCAAAAAAGAATTTTTTTTAATGCCTTGCCCGAAAAACTAGCCTTCGGGGCTGCGAGGGGGGGCAGCCCCACCTGTGGCTCTGCCACTGAGTTCTGGTGTTGATAATGCTACCCCCCACCCCTCTATTGAAGCATTAATGCACACATCCTTTGGTGATCATCCTATTGTGTTTGAACTGCAAAATTTCTTAGTAATGATACAAGTGCTGAAATGTATTAAGTCATGTTTTGAGACAAAATGAGTGGTATGACAGGTTAATGTACAAACTGATCAAAGGCGGTTTATTTAGGAATACAAACTAACTATGTAACTATTGTATCAATTGATTTTGACAACATGAGTTCTACAAGTAGACAAAAAGGATTCTCTTTGTAGGTCAGGCCTCTGAATTTTGACCTGAAATTGACCTTGTTCTGATCAAACTGTAAATATTATCTGAACAATCAAAGTTTTAATCTTATCTTACCAGGTTCTTATCCTCCCCCTTCCAACTTTCCTTTCTAAATAAAAAAATTCAGTTCATGATTTTTCATGAATGGGATTGTTGATCTACCGGTATGTTAAATTAAGTCAGATAAAATTTGTGACTTATTCCCATTTTATTTTGCATAAAATTTATGATTGATATTGGTAAAAATATTGGAGAATTTCTATTTATGCAAATCAAGTAATAGTAGATCTAATGTGTGTTCTCAGTTAATGTAATTGGTAGGATTCTGGGTGGGGTATGATTTATTCAGATGCTTGGCTTGGTATTTAAAGTCACATAGAATTAAAAATAAAATCTGACTTCAACAGTTCATGGCACAGTGGGCACCAGGTTGATACAGGGGTCAACAGTTTATGGTTGATTAAGTACCTATGTGTAATACACAAGTAGTGAATGGTGAAAATCTTGACACATCTTGTCTAGGGTATAAATAGAAATATAACTTTCAGAGACAGTGTGAAAGGTATTTCTATATGCCCATGGGGGGAGTATATTGTCAACACCCATGTCAGTTGTTTCTTTCCGTCCAAAAGAGGATAGAAAAATATTTAGTTTGAGTTATTGCCCTTGTTCTTGAAATGCTCGTAAACACTCTAAAAGGCGCAATTCTTGACAGATTTTGATGAAACTTGTTGTGAGTGTTTGTAATCACCTAAGGATGAACCCTATTGAAAATCAGACATAAGGACATCTCTTCCAATGTTAAAACACGAAATTCAGCCTTCTATAACTTTTTCCAGAAATCTCGTTGAAAGCTTTCCAATATGTCGAATGAAAGCCTGACCAATTCTCAATGTCTCCTAAATTCTGTAAAAAGATTAAGGAACGTTGACCAAAACCAAGCCTGAAAAACATAAATTACACAGAATAAGGGTCAAATTTATTACGTCACATTTACTCGCACATAATTCAGCCTGTTTCTACTTCAAAAACCACAGTACTTCTTAAATTAATGACAATTGCAGAAATAGAAATAACATGGAACCAAATGTTTTCAAGAATGAATCTTAAAAGACCATATATCCATTAGGTACCGTAGTGTGTTAAAGTTACAATCATTACATAACTCATTAAGGTTTATGATCTCTAAACCCCAGAAACCAAAATCAGTTCACATAGTAAATAGAAATAAATGATTTCTCTGTCTATTCATTCTGTCTTCAATATATCATTCTGCTGATATTTTCACCTCCATCAAGTCTCAAAATAATATATATTTAGCAAAAATGAGAAATTCGCTCATTTCCATTCAAAACTCTCAATATGAAAGGCGACAGAAAACGAAAAAGTTTTTTACCTGGTTATGTAAAGAAAGTTAGTGAGGTGACACAAACTGACTACGACTATGATCTTCCATCTACCTCTGCAGTGTATGAAGACCAAAAATTGAGCTGAGCTATGTGAATATTAAACTAGACTCTCCAGGTAGTCACAGGGTTTTACGACCAAGGCCTGAAAAAAAAAGAAAGCAGTTTTGTTCAAAATGAAATCTCAGGCAACAGGATAATCAATGTGGAAAAAATGGTAGAAATGTGGAATATAGCCATTCAGACTCATGCAGACGAAGAGGCCGAGGTGTGTGCAGTACCACAATTTAAGATCAACACAGAAGAAAAATGGGGAATTGGATGGAAATATTCACTGAAATGCCTCAATTGTAGATACATCTCTCCTGTGGTAAAATTATACAAGGAAATCACGACTGGACTAAACTAACCCTAACCCTAACCCTTTTTATAGCCAAAAAAGATGAATTTTGCAGCCTGGCACTAGTGCATGTGTTAAAGGCATCCATTTTGTGTGAAAACATGTGAAGAAAAACAAATAATTACAATTTTGATGCATTGCTGCAAAGTTGACAGGTCGAAATTTGGCTGAAATGGCGTTTTTCAATAAAAGTGGCCAAAATTCAAATTTTGGACAAAAAAATATGCAAATGTAGCCATAAAAAATAATTTAGTCTTTATTCTACCTATTCTGAAAATTTCATACGAAATCATTCACAACTTTTTGACTAATATCAATTTTAAAAAATAAATGACCTTACCAGACAGGACTCACTCCACTAATTCATTTGCCATCTCTTCCCATGTTAAAACACGAAAGCCTGACCAATTCTCAGTGTCTCCTAAAAAATTCATTATATGATGACCATGAAAATTTTGAGCTACTAAAATTGAAAGTAGACTACTACCGGTTATACTCATCCGCTAGAGTTTGGCACTTCACAAAACAACTATTTTTAGAATTAGCCTTCCGCCTTTAGGTCTCTCATCATCTCACCAAATCTGAAAGATAATGCAATTTCAGACATCAAATTCCAAATCTAGACCAAATTTTACCCAAAAATAGGCAGTCAAAAACCCCAAAAGGGAGAGAGAAAGAAGATTTCTAAAAATAGCCTGGACTACATTCCTATACAATCATTTGCATAAAATGTTTTAGTGGAGTGAGTCCATAATAGAAAAATATTTAGTATGAGTTATTGCCCTTGTTCTTGAAATGCTCATAAACACTCTAAAAGGTTCAATTCTTTTATGATTCAGTATACTGAATATTTTTATTTGAAATCAAAGCTGCCAGTGGGCATATATTACCTTGCAAGCTATCTTTAAAATGCATGTATATATTTTATGTGTTTAACAGGTGTTTGATATTGAACAGTTTTTCTGCAGCCATATTGATATAATCATTCATTTAAACTATATCATGGTAAGAGAAGTTTTAATTGATTAAAGGACAGGTGTGCCATTCTTTTTAACCAATCATACTTTAGTCTCAGAAACAGGAATTTTATAGCTAAGCTAATCAGTAACAGTGTTCACAGCTCATCGTCGAAATTTTAGCCTTCAAATACATGTGTGTCCATAATTATCTGTGTTTGAATGACAGCCCGTCAATTTAAGATACTCTGTGATATATAGAAAAGATATATATATAAATACTGAGTAAAATTCCTAGTTTGAGATATTTTTGAAGGATTTCTATTGCTTCTGAAGACTATTTATATATTTTCAATACTAAAATCAACCCCCCTTTAAATTATACAAGTCTAAATATATACTGAGCCTTAAAGGTGTCTCCACCTTCCATAACATTCGATACCGATCTGTGGCAAGTCTTTAAGCTTTGCTTTACTGTGATTTGTATTTTTGTAAGTTTTTAGGCCTATAAGAGTTCAGGTGTTTAATTATTTGCTTTACAAAGTAATAGAGCCCAATTTCAGCTATCCAGAAATAAAATGTTAAATCAAGTTTTCTTACAATTCATCAAAAAGTAAAATGTAGGTAATGCTATCCCTATACCCCGATTACCATGAAATTTCATTAGACTTCAAGTAAAACTTGCTTTTAATTAACATTAAATTTATCTTTTAAGCAGGAGAGTGATAAAATGTTTACATATAATAAAGATGACTTAAAAGAAACAATTCACACATGGGTGGATAAAAGTGAGAAAATCAATAGCAAGGTAGTTTATTTATCTATACTTTCTATTTTGAAGATGATATAGAGCAGAAGAAGTAAGAAGACACTTTTTAAGAGTATTATCTTACGAACTTTTGGAAGACTTCATAAGCTGAAATGATTTCCAAATCATCTCACCTGATGAAACGACAAAAGCTTTTAAACTCTCAAAAAGTGTCTTCTTACTTCTTTTATTATACAATATTATACATGATTTAATTCTATAATATAGAACACTAATTTTTGGTGTTTCTATCATTGAATAAGCAAATCCTGAATTATTTTTTCACTTGATGATTTGTTAAATACATCAACAAATCTTTAAAAAAACCAAAAAACAGTCAGTGCGGCACTACAACTAAAAAGAGAATAGTTCTTTATAGAATTCATCAGCATATAGCTTTTCTAGACTTTGTAGATGTATTTGGGGAACACTCATAGTTTCTATTTGCATCATTCCTATTGTTTTTGGTTCATGAAATTCGAAATGAAATGTGATAGTAACATTGTGATGTGTGTAAATTTTTCTGGAATTACAAGACATCTGAATGGTGTAGATAGAAGCCTAGTATCACTGATAAACATGCAAATGTTAAAAAACCTCTTGGATCCTTTTAAAATTCCAATATTCTGTAGTACAATTCCTGTAGTCTTAAACTGATTTAGATATTAATGTAGTAGAATTGAATTATTTAGATGTATTTTTTAGTTTGATGATATATTAAGAAGCTCCTGGGATAAAGCTATGGAAAAAGGAGTGTTCCGATATACTATGGATCATATTGAAACTAAAGTATTAGATGGACCGAAGCAATATGTCTGTCAGGTAAGGATACAAAGATGGGTTCAGACAACTTAAGATTCAAAGCACCTCAATGTATTTAGACCAGTAGACATGAGCAAAACGCATTCATATCAGGAAATTGATCAATTACAGTTAATAAAAAAAATTTCAGCTCCTTGTACTGGAAAGAATTGAATAATGTTTAGTCACAGGTTATGTTGTTAGTTTGTAGTATTGTTATATGATTTTTATATTTTCATAACCATTTTTTGTTTCCTATAACTGATGGTTCAAATCTGAAGAAATCCACCTGATATTCCTTCATAAAGATCACCTGTCAGTTCTTCATAAAGCTCATCTGATATTCCTTCATAAAGATCACCTGTCAGTTCTTCATAAAGTTCAGCTGATATTCCTTCATAAAGATCACCTGATATTCCTTCATAAAGATCACCTGATATTCCTTCATAAAGAACACCTGATATTCCTTCATAAAGAACACCTGATATTCCTTCATAAAGATCACCTGATATTCCTTCATAAAGATCACCTGATATTCCTTCATAAAGATCACCTGGTATTCCGTCATAAAGAACACCTGATATTCCTTCATAAAGATCACCTGTCAGTCCTTCTTAAAGTTCAGCTGATATTCCTTCATAAAGATCACCTGACATTCCTTCATAAAGATCACCTGTCAGTCCTTCTTAAAGTTCAGCTGATATTCCTTAATAAAGATCACCTGACATTCCTTCTAAAAGTTCAGCTGATATTCCTTCATAAAGATCACCTAATATTCCTTCATAAAGATCACCTGATATTCCTTCATAAAGATCACCTGATATTCCTACATAAAGAACACCTGATATTCCTTCATAAAGAACACCTGATATTCCTTCATAAAGTTCAGCTGATATTCCTTCATAAAGATCACCTGACATTCCTTCATAAAGATCACCTGTCAGTCATTCTAAAAGTTCAGCTGATATTTCTTCATAAAGATCACCTGATATTCCTTCATAAAGATCACCTGATATTCCTTCATAAAGATCACCTGATATTCCTTCATAAAGAACACCTGATATTCCTTCATAAAGTTCAGCTGATATTCCTTCATAAAGATCACCTGACATTCCTTCATAAAGATCACCTGTCAGTCCTTCTAAAAGTTCAGCTGATATTTCTTCATAAAGATCACCTGATATTCCTTCATAAAGATCACCTGATATTCCTTCATAAAGATCACCTGATATTCCTTCATAAAGATCACCTGATATTCCTTCACAAAGAACACCTGATATAAAGTTCAGCTGATATTCCTGTTAGTCCAGTACAGTACAGTGTCCAGATTTGAAAGAGTATACAGGCCTAGTAAACAATGATAATGATTTGTTCTCTTTCAGTTGAATGTAAAGAGGGCTACAGAAAGAAGAACTCCACAAAAAATAACTAGTTTGAATCAACCCTTTGATCCAAATGATTTTAATTTCACCAAAATCAAAGATAATGAAATTTTGATGAGTTTACACAATCAAAATGCTGAAAATCAATCAGATGAAAATGATCAAAAAGAGCCACCAGTAAGTTCTAGTGATATCATTAATTAAGACTTTGAGACTAATTCTTGTCATCTACTTGTCAAGAGTAAGGGCATAGGTTTAATGGATATCAATTGGTTTTGGTATAATAAGAAATTTCTATCAAAAAGCTTCGAGTCATTGGGTTGGTATTACCTCTAATAACCTTTTGTATCAATAGCACTTATCATGATATGTTATATAGCATATCATCTTCACAAACATTATTTATTCAGTCTGCTTAAGTTAATGAGATATATTTCATATATATTATGTATTTTATTGTTAGTAGGTTAATGCCTCTGTCCTGACAAAGAGTCCTATTTGTTATTACCCATCATAATGTGCCCATGAGCAGAAGAACGTAGAATGTTAAACTCTGTTTTATGTTTGATGTTGGTTATTTTAGGAACGTCATCTTGTTATTGTTAATATTAGTCCTATTGAATATGGTCATGTTTTAATTGTACCACAAATAGATTCTTGTATACCACAGGTTAGTCATTGCAATTGTATTGTACAGTAAGTTAAAAGATGGTATGAACAATAGTTAGTGTATATTTCATTTAGTGTATTAATGTCCAGAGGGCTTTTTCATCACATTATCTCTTATAATAACACATATTTCATGATAGATTCTATGACGTTTCTACGGGAGGCCAAAAATGAGGCCTGGCTTTGTCTCCAGTTTTCAAATTGTTTATCATTGAGTTCTTAAATTCCCTGTGGTCCTTTCTACTTCCGACTATGAAAAATGCCTTGATATCTAAAACTATTCAGCTTGTAAAAGAATATTTTGATGCACATAGCTCTGTTAGTTAAGAATTGAATATAAAAAGTAGAATTAAAGGAATTAAAGGGCTGATAAGACTTTACCTATGAAATTGGTAAACATACAGAATTATCATGCCTTTATAAACTTTATGAAACAGTGCTTTGTGTTTGTTACAAATTGAAAGTATTTTTCCCTGTTGATTTTAGGTTTTAACTGAGAAGGCAATAGAAGTAGGTTTAGAATCAGTTCTCCTCAGTGCTAGGAGGTAAGTTTATTTTTCTCAACAGTAATTTTACCCAAAAAACAGTTTTGCAGTCAAAACAAAACTTGCCATAAAACCAGGTTATTGTGTTATTGTGTTAATCAATGCATGAATTTTGGAAAAAATAGTTTGATAAGCCTACCTTTTATTTCAATATTCATGTGAAGGAAAGAAAAATGTGTGAAATGGTTTGATGAATTTGAAAAAAATTCTCAAAAAAGCAATGCAGTAATTGATTGTAACAAAAGACTATTGGGGCTTAAAGTTTTTCTTAAAGGGATTTTAAAGAGGTTTTCTATTCAAATGTATTGGGAAAACATCAGCAATCTGTGGTTCCTGCAATTCCACTGAAACTAACTGTTTGTTGACGTCACTAAGAGCATAGGGCCTAATATGATAAAGTATATTTTGCGATTAATGACTTCATCAAACACTTAGTTTTAGTGCAGGAACCACAGACATCTGATTGAAAAATTGGAATGGCACAAATTGATACCAACCATAACCCTAATGCACATAAAACATTTACAAAACCTCTTTGCGGTCTGTTTAAGTTATTAAAACATACTGTAATTTTTGAAGACTCCTTGAAATTTGGATCCTACTAAGTAACTCCTTTTTTCTTGTTTCATATCTGTTATAGAAGTTTTAGGCTTGGTTTTAATAGTTTATGTGCCTATGCATCAGTTAACCACTTACATTTCCATGCTTATTATTTAGAACATGAACTATTAATTGAATATTGGGTAAGTCCTGCATCGTAGATATGTTCATTTCAAGTGCTAAATGGGTCATGTACATCTTGTCACAAGTAGCATGTATTTCTCCATAACGATAACATGATCCTAATTCATTACTTATATTAATATTGGTCTATCTTTTCTATTATAAACTCCAGTAATAATCTGATATATTAATTCACCTGTGCCTGTCAAGTGGCGGAGCCAGGTTTACGTCGGAGAGGGGGGGGGGGGGCGCGAGATATCTGAGATTGTCCGAATCTTTAACCTAGTTATGAGATTTTTTCCCGCAAAACTTGCTTTCGGGGTTGCAAGGGGGAGCGGTTGCCCCCTCTGCCCTACCATTGACTCCACCACTGTGCCTGTCAATCATAAAGTGGACAAGTCAGAAAGATATATTGAAGAACAATCATTGGTTCTGTGGATATTGGTGTTTATTTAATATTTATTGTTTTCAGCCTGCTAAACATATCACTGGTGTTTTATATGAAACTAAAGCTATGCCAGTACCTGGCTTTGTTTTTCAACTACATGGTAGTACCATATCACAATTAAAACGGTAATAATTTTCACTTTGTTTTTCATCTCATTATCTGCCTTTTCTTTGACTGTTAAGTTCAGGAAGCAAATCATAAAGAGTATTTAGAGGGATAGGTGCTCCATTTTGGGGGTTGATTTTAGTCTTGAATATATATAAATAGTCTTCAGAAGTACAAGAAATGTTATAAAATCGTATAATTCCTTTAAAAACTACAAACTTGGAATTTTACTCACTATTTCTATATATATATTTTCTATATATCACAGAGTATCTTAAAATGACAAGTTGTCCTTTTAACATTCAAATGCGGATAATTCTGCACACTCATGGATCATATTTTATCATAATTTTCATTGTGTGTTTTTTTAAGGGTTGTACATAAAGTTACGCAATATTTTCAAGAGAATGAGATAGCACATAGTGTTTTGATATTACGTGGTGTTAAGATTGGCGAAGAAAGATCTAGTAAACAAACCACAGTTAGAGTCTACGTCTGGCCCAGACAGAAATTCAAAGGTAAAAATAGAAGAAGGATTGAACTCGGTTTTCATTGAGTTTGTAAATGTCCAATTATTGGACCATCCGTTTCCATTTACAAACTACATTCAAATGTGTTGACAGCATAAGCTAGGCTCTTAATCAATTGGCATTAGAATATTGTAATTAAAAAAAGACAAATAGTAGCATTCTTGTGAAAAATGAGCATGAAGACAAAAAGAAAGTAAAGAAAATATGCCTATTGACAGATTAATAACATCGGTTTACAATTATGTCTTCTGGTGTTTTCTTTTTAAAGTAGTTTTAAGCAAATTATTGTTCATAGTAATTGTTGTCTAAGATTAAAATCATATATAAAGCTATTTGAAATGTTATGCTTATTTTAGGGGTTAAGTCCTCAGTTGAATTACACGTAGCTGTGATTGAACTTGGAGGACATTTACCATGTAAAGGTATGTATAGTGTTAAATATCGTGGATTTTCTCATGTCAGACAATTAAAGTTACAGGAAGATATTACGGTTTATTTCCATATCGCCCCTTCCAAATTCGCCCCCAATTAATTCCAATTTTGCCACTTACCATTATGTCCCTTCTCAATTCGCCCCTGATTTTATTTTGCCCCTTTTTCATTCTGCCCCCTTACTATTTTGCCCCTTATCCCAAATTCACCCTATTCCCATTTCCATTGTTTTTACAAAGGGCTTGGACAGTATAAAATAAGTTGAATACAGAAAAGAAATTGAATTAATATCAGAAAAGGACGTATGCAGTCATCAAACATTTACATATACATAAATAGGAAGGGGCACAATGAGCTAGGGGCGAACTGGGAAAGGGGAGAAATGGAGAAGGGTAAAGGTAATAATTAAAGGGTGAATTGGGAAGGGGCAATGTGGGAAGACACCAGATTATTACATCCATTCTGACCACCAAAGAATTCTTTATATCTTTTGAGTAGGTTAGAGAGTTATAAAATTTTAGATTGCTTTTTCATAGGAGCACATGGAGATGTAGACGTATATTGCCGTCGCCCTTGTCCGTCCGTCCCTTCACATTTCTTGTAGGCACGATAGAGACTACAGTCATAATATTGCCCTTGACTTGAAAACAAATGATATTTGGCTTGTAGGCGCAATAGAGGCTAGAGTTGTTGTCCAATCTTGATGAAACTTGGTATGCATGTATATATTGGATTAGATTTTGTCAAGTACAAAATTTGTATTAATCAGATGAACGATTTTGGAATTATTGCCCCATGACTATGTAAAAACGCCTCAAATTTGGCTTGTAGGCACGATAGAGACTACAGTTTTGATCCGATCTTGATGAAACTTGGTATACTAGTATATATTGATCAGATCTCGGTCGAGTTCGAAATTAGTAACAATCGGATGAACTGTGTCAGAGTTATTGCCCTTGACTTAGGAAAAATGCGTCAAATTTGGCTTGTAGGCATGATAGAGACATCACCTTGATGAAACTTCATATGCATGTATATATTAATGAGATCTAAATCAAGTTCGAAATTAGTATTATTTGGATGAACGGTTTCAGAGTTTTTGCCCTTGTGTGTATGGCTGTGAAACCTTGTTCATGTCTGAAGTTGACGATAATTTGAGGTTTTGACTTGACTTACAAATATTTTCAAAATTATTTGAAAATTCATTATTAAGCCACTAAAGATTTTGTTATCATTTCTGACAGTTAGTAGTTACCTTGCCCGGCAAACTATTTCCATATTCTATTGACTGTATAGGGCTGTTAGCTTTGATGCATTTATTATTCAAAGAGCTCTGAAAAATATGACTTTGGATTTGGCTGTTTTCACATTTTTGTGACAAAGAAGGTGGATACATACTATGGTCTGGCTAGAAAGTCAGAATTATGTTCAGGGATCAGTCTGTAGCACACAAAGCCATTGTTTATTGTCCCATCCCTAACAATCTTTCGTGCTTTTGCCATGTCAGCCCTATCTGTTTCAATGGCAGGGGGAACAGTGGTTATTCATATGAATTATGAACTAACTTGATTTTAATATTTCTAAAATCAGAAAAAATATTTCCAGATCTTTGGTTGTCTGACTATAGAAAATCTTCTCATCTTTACCCGTGCATGATTAAAATTAATATATATTGTATTTACTAGGAGCCTGGCTAGATGCATTCAATATAGCTGTTATAGAGATGGGTGGCCATTTACCTATCAAAGGTAGTTATTAGGGTTATCTTGTTATTAACGCTTGATTTTTTAGTATTTTAATAATAGATTTTCATATGATTTCAAAAGTGGTTTAGAGGTTGTGGTATTATTTATCTATATATTGTATATATTTATTTTTTTATCCTAGTTTCATATCAGGAATATCATGTTTTAAATTTGGACCAACAGTGCACCAAAACCTTCTGCCAACTATTATCATCCTTTAACAAATTTTATGTATCTTGTAGAACGTAGTTCCTATATACTAATAATATATTTATTAGCAATATTTTTCATTTGTTATCTACCACAGATAAATACCCCTTTCGCACTGCACAACTGAATTATTGAATTCGGTTATAACCGAATAGAAAAATCTGATTCAGTTCGGTTCGGGTTGCTTTCGCGCTGCATTCCTGTCTGGATAGCCGTTTTCGCACTGCCGAGTCAAGTTATCTGGATAACTTTTTATTTTTAGTAACACATCATGTCACGTGACAAAACATTAAAAACAAATATGGACGCTGGCAATTATAATTGGAGCAACGACGAAATTCGCTGCATGCTCGCTGTCTGGGGCGATACTAAATTTCAAGATGAATTAGATGGCATGAAGAGGAATAAACATGTTTTTTCAACTCTCATCCACCATTCCGACCTAGGTTGACGGGACTGAAATTCCTTGTTTATAAATAAAAAATATGAAAATAAAAACAAAAGCATTTTCTGTTTCCTCTTCCGATATATATTCATTCTTTTCCTAGACAATTCGTGTACTTTATTAATCCCGTCAAATATCATTATAACATCAGGAGCCATTTTGAAGTGCTTATACACGTGACACCCCATGTGATAAACTTATCCAGATAACTTCTTGTTTGGTTTCGCACTGCCACTTATCTGGATCGTATCCAGACGAAATCCACCTCTTGAAGTAGATTTTTCTATCTGGATAACTTCTGGTTATAACCGAATAAGTTTTTTTGCCAGTGCGAAAGCAACCGGAAGTTATTCGGATAGAACTAGAAAGAACCAAATTACTTTTGCAGTGGGAAAGGGGTAAAAGTGAGAAACTGCTACTGCACTATTTAAATTTTGAAATCTGCAAAACATGGATCCTTTCCACAAGTAAAATCTATTACATGTATTAAATCATGATGCCTTCTTTAATGTTAGAGACATTGGAACATACTATATTTTAACTCTTTTTTTCGTTACTGCATCATCATTAAATTTAATATCATGGCATTTTCAGATGAGAAATCGTTTCATAGTTTAACGGAATCAGAAACTGATAAAATTCTAGAAACAGCCAAACTACCAGACAATGAATATGAGAAAATCAAAGCAGATGTTACAAAGATAGTTTTTGAAGATGACAGTGAAAATGGACAGAGTTGATGATAAAATCAATTTTAATTATATCACTATCATTTATTTTATTTTTCACGATCTCGTAAAGAGATGCATTAAGTATCGAGTTCACTTTTATCTTCTATTTTCAACATCTTGATTTAGTTACCATTTCATATAGACTGATTTTTTTGGAAAGAAATAAGAAATAGTGCCCAGACATTGAACTGGAAATCATAATGATGCAAACATAAAAAAAAGTACAGTAACAGCTATAGTAACCAGCTATTTTAATATATATATATTACAATTTTTTTTTTTTTGATGTTTGAATACCTCTTTTATGGTTTTGGTTAATTATTCTTTGAGCTTGAATTTATATCGGTAAATACAATGGCCTGTTCAATTAGATTTGACAACATTAGCATGGGTTGGAAGTTTATCTGTTGTTAGGCCACGATTCTAAATTTAAAATTTGATATAGACAAATGTCATACACATCTCCCTAAGTTAAACATTATATTTGTTCCCATCCTATTCATGATCAAACTCATATTCATAAGCAAGCACTTGATTTTGAAATAAACTGAATGCTACTTGTAGTGATTCAAGGGCTGATATAAATATGCATCACTTCTAGATCTGTTTTATCATGATTTTGAAGAAAAATGAACTTTGCCTAAACGCATGTTAACAAGTCAGAAAACTATGTTGTTTTACGAGGGAAGTTATATTAAAGGGTAATGAAATGGTTATATATTTGTAATGCATTATGAAATAAACAACTGAATGACTTTTTATATATGTTTAATTAACAAGCGTATGTTGACTATTCGCATAATACACATTAACATGCTTCCTATTAAGGTTGCATTACGCCTTCATGCTATTGAAAGGTCATCCATGTATTTACAAGTCTTTTCTTTATTTAGTGTATCACTCTGACTCTATCATGTTGAATATTCTAAAAGCCTTTATTAATAAGAAAATCACCAACATCATGAATGTACTGTCCCTTGATTCTAATAAATCTTCCCACTTCATGAATTTGACTTAATATTGGTCTCTTATTGTGTTTGTTTTCTAAATATTCACATAAATCTTTCTCAAAAGCCTGAAATACAAAAAGGCAATTTAAAAAAGACAGTTACAAGTAAATTTCTTTTGATTCGATTTTGTACCACCTAATATATAAGTGAATTACAAAGTATCCAAACAATGTAAATCCAATAATATTTGACAAGCTGGAAAAAATTATGCACAAAACTTAATATTTTCATACTACACAGGTGATTCCATGAAAATACTAATGGTTGCTTAAGCTACATGTTGGCCAGTCTTAATGATATGGTTCCACAGTGCAAGCATTTGATTTATATTGTCAGTGCTTCTGATTTTAATCAGGTGATAGGGGTTAAAAGCCAACATGGGTCTGACTCTCAAAAGCACAAGCCATGGCATAAAGAGGTTTCAAACCCATTGTACCTTATCACCTAGCAGAATTTTGCTACTAATGGTTATTCTACTTCAGGACTTAACATAAAAAAAATAAAACATCTAAAAAAAAACTCACCCAAATATCTCCATCAATATTTTTAATACGAACAAGATGTCTATTGGTATGCTGTACTTCTGCATACACTGGTAACATGTGGTTTTTGGTTCTTCTTACAAAATACGGCAAGGAAGTGGATGATTCTAATGAAACAATACTTATAGTAGAGTGAATATGAAAAAGACCTGATTCAAATCTAATGCATTCTTCTGAAAATGAAGATCTGCCTTGGCAGTCTCCTGATAGCACAGATAATTTGTTTCAAAGAACGTTCTTACTGGAAAGGACCCCTGAATGAACACATCAATAAATTTATACGTAAATGACTATCATGAAAAGGAGGTCCAGAATTAACAGTAAAATGAGTTATCACTTTTTGTAACTCTTTTGCGTAAGGGGATTTTCTGCAACTTGAAAGGACAGGGAATCTGAAACCAAATTCTATAAGTTTAAAGTAAGCACTATATCTAGGGCTGCAACGATATAAATGAACCGCTATTCTTTCCTTCTTATTGATACATTGCGTTGGATTAAAATAATAGCGATGCATCGGCATCCTCCCTTTAATAACAAATGATACGGTATGTCAGAATTTTCATGATTTTATCATTTTCACCAAAACCAAGCAACAAAAGGCATTTCTGTATTTCATTATACAATTCTTTACTTATAGATGTTCTCATGTGCTAAATTGTTTTAAATATTTTTACTATTTTTTCTTTTTCCCTTTCTAATAAATGAATCGTGATAATTACCGCAATAATTAGTATCGTCGGATAAGTACCGGTATCATATTGTGTATCGTATCACAACTTCAAGAATCATTGCAGCCCTAACTATATTGTTACCTTTTGATGGTATCCATCCTGAAGGGGTTATACCAGTTATATTATCAGGAACTTGTGGAACTGTTTGTTTAGGTAGTAATCTATCGACAAATTTCATCTCTTTTGTTGACACTTCATAATCACTAATCAAATCAGCATCAAACGATACTCGCATTTTCTTATGATACTATAAAAGAATGTCAAATATGACAAACAAACTGAAGTGAAAGAATGTGTGTTAAAGGTACAGAGGCGGCATTTAGGGGGGTTGATTTGGGCCTTGAATATATGTAAATATTCTTCAGAACTGATAAAACTGCACTAAAATTGCATAATTCCTTCAGAAAGATCTCAAACAAAAAATTTTTTTTTATTTATTTTGTTCACAAGCTTATCTTCTTTCTAAAAATTAGAGTTTCCGAAAGTTGAATGTTTAGTTGATATAGTCTCGACAACAAGACATCTTCTGCCGCAGCTGTGCATAGACGATGTGTGACAGGATCATTGAGTCTTGTAAACACATGATTTCATAGATAGACATTCAAATACTGTGTTCATACATAGATAATTATGAATGTACTAGGATATGAAGGCCAATATATATCGATGGTAAGCTGTGAACATTATTACTGATTAGTTCAGCAGAAAAATTCACGATTTTGGACCAGGGTATGATTTACTCTTGGTAAGTGTACTTTTAAGGTTACTAGCATATACAACAGACCTATGTTGGATGCAACAAAAGCTTCAACTTGCAACTTTCTGTAAATAATGCCATGGGGCAACACAAATTACATTAACAGGACTAAGATATTCGGAATATTCGGACTATGTATCATTGTCTGAGCTGTGCAGTAGTGGTCTTACTCAGTAGATCTGCCGGTGAAGAAGATCTAACAACGCTTTAACTTCACCATTCAACTCACCTGTCTATTACACTTTGACAAAACTAGATACTGTGTACGGGCTCTATTTAAAAAGTTTCTTAGATTTAATGCTGTGTAAACCGACATGTTGATTATTTTTTTAAACAGCCTGTTTCTCTGTGCTTATTTGAAGGTTGGATTAACCAGACGGTGAATTCCCATTGAGTTATATTATGCTTACAAATTGTATGACCTAGTATTCAAGCCTATTCGAAATAGATTTGACTAAAAGAAACCCGGCAAGATAACTCTTAAATAAGCAGACTACAATTAAATCAAAATTTTCCTCAACAGTTTGTCAAGCTTCTTATTATATTGCAACACTGTAAATGACTTGCTTGCAATGCTGAGTTGTTGATATAGCTCAGTTCTAGTACTAATATCAAACATATATTTATCATACAAATCAATCGCAACAGACTGTACTAATTCAGACTTTTTCTACCATCCTGCAATGACTAGGTTAACCTCTATCTCTATTGACCTCTAGACTATAGGTTGGTTGGTAGATGACAAGTTAACGTTCGCTTCCAGCGGATGCTGATATCGCAAACTCTAGTCTAATGGGATTATGACTTAAATAGGGCTACCATTAATTTTCCAGTTACCAATTCAATCCAATTTCCAGAAAACTTATATACATGTAATGTAAAATTTAAATGACATGGGTGTGGTAAAACTATTTTGGGGGGGTTGCAGGCTCCTAAGGCACATAATATTTTGTGCATTGTTCATCAACTAAAAAATAATAAAACAAGAATTTGAAATATAATTTATTTTTATGGAATATCTTCAGTTTCTTTATTTTGTCTTTCCTGTGATGAGACCCAACGTGATAACATTATTTCCTGAAACAGAAAATTATTTTGTCAAAATAAGTCATTATTTACATGCTATCCATGTAAAACTGATAAACGTGATCATTAACACCTAAATAAGATGTCTGAAAGACAATACTTCCAGATGTTATCTCTATAAATTAGAGAGATTAGATTGAATTGCATGTATTTCAAGGAGCCTTATGCAAGATACAGTTTTTTACTCGGGTACATGTTCTTTACACTAAAACAACACTTTACCTACCTTTACTTTAAAATGAGAAATGAAATCAGATGAAAATGTTTCGTCCGAGATACTCTTTGGTTTAATAACATAACATATCAAAACTTCCTGTAATACAGATATTACAGATATATTGGGGATTGAGCAACAAATCCAAAATTAGCTCCCTGATCAGGATGACTGAACTGAGAGCTGATAGAGATAAATTTCCATTGCAAATATCACTTTAAAGAATTAAATTTTATAGCATTATTACAAATTAACATCACCTTTCCTACATGCTCAGTTATTCTATTTAAACCACATAATGATCTCCAGGATAATTTGCGTTGATAGTATCCTGATACTGGTTTTAGACTTCCTTCTTCTACATATTGTATTATAACAGAATAACTTCCATGATAAAATGGTGGACCAACTTTATACAGAACTAGGAAAAAAACATCAGAAAGTTATACTTTCACCTAATCTAGAAACTGTTTGCAAAATTTAATAACATCGTTCTATTGAAGTCAATATATGCAATAAAATCACCACTTCAAATACTTACTGTAATCACAGCCAAATTTTAAACCTGATTTTGGTACCCATCCTTTACTTCTAAAATAGTGATAACAAATATAACTTGGTATAAAATTTCTCTGTTTAGTACAAAATAACTTCCATAAACTCTTGATATCAATATTTCTCTGTAATATAAACACAATGAAATGACCAGTCTGACAAGAATATAGGGGTATTGATATACAATTATTTTAAGGTATTCAGGAATGTCTAGACCATTTAGTCTTATAGTAAGTCTTATAGCAGACATACATTAAGTTTGATTTTCATCGTAATAGCGTTTGAAAGCTGAAAGTGGGCTTACTTTTAGAAGCACTGGCCAATTTAATTTGCTACAATGAGCTATTGCCCTGCCACTACAGGAAATAACTACAGACCATCATAATCATTGACTTACCTCAGAATTTTGAACAATTAAACACCCTAATCCATAGCACAGAAAGAAAGCCTGCAAAACAATTAGTGATCTTAGATTAGTAAACTGTAGTATTGCTGAATTAATTATAAAAGCAGATTAATTTCATCACTTGTCCAATTCTAGGGCTACTTACACCTTGACCATAAAGTGTCATTTACTATTGCTAGATTTATAACAACTAAAAAATGTTCATACCTCAACAAAACTAAGTTGTAAATATTCTTTAATAGGAAATGGATTCATTTTCATAATTGGTCGCCATTTTCTAGTCTTTCTTTTTATATTTTTGTCATAGTTTTCACTTGGAATAACAAATAAATCACCTGTCTTTTCATTTTGAATACATAAAGGATCAAACACAGTTTTAGATGAATCAGAATCAATCAATTTTTCAGATATCACAGGTTCGGCCTCTACTTTTAATTTCTTTAATGGAGGAGAGATATTCTCTGTTTGGTCCTTCATTGAGGTATTGAATTCACTGTGGGAATGATTATCAACTTTAATTTGTTCATCGCTTTTTCCTATTGTTTCTGCACCTTCAGACGTGGCAGTAGAAATTTCCAATTTTTTTACATTTGTATCAATGTTTTGTGATCCACCAAGATTCTTGACATCATTACCCTTTTCAATGTCCCAGAAGTTGGCATCACTTTCAGTACTTTCCCATGGGTCATGTACATCCTCATTCCAAAAGTCATTAGCTTTGTCCACTTTTTGTATCAAATCAGATATATCACTTACAGGATTTTCCCATGGGTCTTTTACCTCCTGATTCCAAAAGTCATTAGCTTTGTCTGATTTTTCTAATGAGTCACCTCCAGTACTTTCCCATGGATCATTTACTTCTTTCTTCAAAATGTCATCAGTCTTAACCTCTTTCTGTACAAGATCTGAATATTGTAAATAATGACGTTCACTTTCCTCTTCAGAGCTTGAATCATCTCTGCCTTCCACCCAACTCAAATGATTCTCATACCTTAGAAATTAGATAAATGGGAATAAAATCAAATATTGATTTTTAATTAGGAATGACTCAATTTTCCTTTTGAGAACTTATATTAAAGAAAACACAAATATTTTGTTGTATTCATTTGTTTATTTGGAGATGGGAGAAATATACTCCGAAAGATAATCCAACTGAATGAGAAGTTTCCAGAAGTACATTAACTTTGACAGTAAAAGAAGACATACTGTGGCCCAAAATTAGAGAATTGGAATTTTGTGCTCATTTTATTTATTGTCTATCAATAGAAGTCTGGTATTCTCATATTGTGCAAAAGTCTGTTTTCATTGAATAAGTCATCTTTCCTCCTTTTCAACCTGATCAAGTTATAATGGATAATTCAGTAAATATCAAAATCAAAAGGTTTAAACAAACTAAAAATGGTAATGAACCAAAATAGTTGTTTATAAGCATAAGAACATACCATTGTTTATTAACAATTCTAGGATAGATTTCTACATTATCTGATACAATAGTCGTATATCTATATTGTTTATTATACTCTGGTTCACCTCGAGATAAATTACCTTTACCAAAAAATCCCTGAAAAAAAACAATGAACTCTTCAACAAAATAATATCATTCACTTTAACCTTTCCATGTCCTTTGGGATAGAAAAGACTTAAAGAAAATGCCTTTGTTTTAAATAGTACATTTCTAGAAAATAAAAAGATTAATAAAAAAAAAAGGGTGCCTGTGAGATTTAAAAAAAAAAAGCCTTTGTGATCAATTGACAATTTACAGAAAAATGAGAGACAACTATATATTTAGGGGGAAAACAATCTACCATTTTATATAAATAGTCCATATCTCCTGAGTGTCTAACAGCTACTATTTGACCATGTATATAACCAGTAAAATACATCCATTGTTTATCACTTACTGGAACACCTTGATCAAAATAAAAATAATCTCTTAGACCTAGTTTATACTGTTTTGAAATAGATTTGCCCCATATTCTTATCTCTTCCATGTGGAATATCTAACATGACAGAGTAATTCTGATCACTGTCTGAATGAAAATCATCATTACAAAATTTGTTAACATAAAAGGTCAATCATACATGTGAGTATCTGTAATAAGGATATGAAAAAATATTATACTTACCTGTAATACTTTCAATGGGAACTGGAAAAGGACATGGTTTGGCTTGCTTAATTCTTTTCTTTTTTCGTTTAGCAGTAGCAGGTATTTGATTCATTTTTAATCACAACCTACAAAAGTACAATAAATATGTAGGCCTATAATAATGAAGTCCAATCATATTTAAACTATAGCTCTAGTCAGTCTGTTTAAATACAACAAGTATGGGTGATGCTTTCAGTGGAATGCTCTGACAATGGATAATATTTACGAATAACCGAATTCATTACGTTCTAAAAGTCTCTTGTAAAAGGTACTTGGAAAATACGGCCATTTTGAAAGGACCTTCCGTGAACCTCAGCACCTGCGGAAAATCATTCAGATAATATGGATTATAGAGGAGACCAAACACACACTTCATTGAAAAAATTTAAAATTGCACTTTACTCTAAAGGATTTCACTCTAATATTTTTCTAACCCATTCCTGAAATTGAGGCATTAAATCAGAAATTTATACAGAAATATATGAATGCTCCTACTAATTACTAGCCGGTTATTTCCCTTCATACATTCGATTAGCCAGACGAGAAATTTCCACGCTCTGATCAATGACGCAGCTAAAAATAGAAACCAGGGAAACACCCGACACGACGCTCAACATCTAAATACGATTACTGTGACGCTATAAACATAACGATTTAATCGCGTCAACACAAAAGCAAAAACCAAATTAATGTTATCATTTAATAAACTAAAACGATGTTAATAAAGGAATGAAATCATAAATCATTTGAAACTGTGAATATGAAGGATAAGAAGGTAATGTAAACCATAACCTAAAAGGGGATATTGGTCTATAAATAGCTCAGGTGGAACGGCGGACGAACTTACGAAGGCCTCGAAGAGTTAACCAATTTAAATTACAAGTAGTGGCGAGCTGCCCACCAAACAATGACAATACAAATTAGTCTTACAAAACCTTTCATTATGTTTTTTCCCTTCAGATTACGGACCTTCCCGCCGATGTTTTATTGAAGATATTTTGCTACTTAGACTTCAAATCTTTGCAGAATGTAGCTTGCGTGAATAGCAATTGGAGCTTCGTGTGTTCTTTGGAAACATTGTGGAAAAGACTTTGTATGACAGCTAACGACGATGCCTTGAAATACATATATAAAAGCAGAATAAATGGATTGTCTTGGAAGGTAAGGTCCAGAATGCCACTTTAAAACGATACATTGTTGTACATAAAGTAAGTATGGTATATAAGAAAAAGACCAATATTATTCTGAAAAGAATGTTATTGAATCAATTCGTAGTTTTACAGATTTTAACAGCAACAAATTTGCACAATGTGTATATAACTTTATCATAATTATTAAAGCGACCCATTAAGGCAGGCTACTTGTGGTTTCTGATTATACTTTACGTTACAGGAATCATATGTTTTCAACTACAGACCCAATCTGATCCGGAGGAAGTGGAATGAAGGATTTGTGTCAAATATTGAACAGTTCGAAGATTTACCAGCAATAACAATGTGTAAAATGGATGCTGAGGAATGGGGGGCAATTTTTGAACAAGAAGAACGACGATGATGCAAGAAAAAGTATAATGACATAACCTGTTTTTATACATAGAAAGACTATTTATACGTTTCGACTTTTTATTATTTATCTGTTTGTTTATTTATTTTGTTAGTATATATAATATTTATTTTTATACGCCCACACGTAAGTAGCCTATGGGCGTATATTTTAGTTGCCCCTGTCGGTCCGTCCGTTAACATTTACCTCGTGCCCACTCTACAGGTTACAATTCTCCAAGGATTCTTTTGATTGTTTGTATGTGTGTCAATATCATTATGAAGATGTGCACTATTGAATTTGGTGATGATCCGATTATTTTCTTCAGAGATATCACATAAAACTCTGATATCGCGTTCGTTTTTTTTTTCCTTTTTTGGCTAGTGCTCACTCTACAATCTACAATTCTCTATTGATTCTTTTGATTGTATGTGTGTCAATATCATTATGAAGATGTGCACTATTGAATTTGGTGAGGATCTGATTTTCTTGAGAGATATCGCATAAAACTCTATCGCGTTGGCTCGTGCTCACTCTACGATATGGAGTTTGTTTTACAGTTCACATTTAGCTCTTTATCAAGCTGCTGGTGGGCGTATTCGCTTGCGAGACTTGCCGCAAGCCTATGTTTGTGTATTTAATTGTTAATAAATAATGAATGCAATGTTGTTTTTTGTTTTGATATCTCGACCTTTTATTTCAGAAAACAATTATCGGCTATATTATATAAAAACAGATTATATCTACTTTCGACTTCTCGCCCATCGAGAAAGCGAGCAAACTTAACTTCGAGGAAAAAGGCAAGGAAAAACCTTATCCTTTGCCATTTTGAATCTCTCCGAAAATTAACTCTCGTGATTTAAAACCCTTTTGCATTAACTCATTCAGCTTAGACCGATATCGACACATAAAGATTTAAAGGTGCGAATAGACGAGGTACGGTTTGGAATTGTCGATGTGTGTTCACTTCTATTTTCGTTTGTACCGATTATTCCTCACCGTACACCACACTTCGTCTATTCGTGGCTAAACACGGCGTAAGACGTCGGTTGAAAAGTTTATTCATCTGTTTCTGATCATTTCATATTTAAATAAATGAATACATCAATAAATTTCAATAATATGCTATATCACGAGGTTTATTTTACAGCAAGTGCTTAAATTCGAAAATGATATTCATTGTAGTATACCGTTAATGTGGTCGGTTTCAAAACTTTATTATTACAAAACTAAAACAAACCCCTGAAAGTACAATTAATATGATTATGATAACTATCAGAGAAATGAATAAATTACAATAACATAATATAACTATGCTAATACATAAAACACAAACTATAATTCTAATGCCACTTTAGTCACACATGATGTACATAAATTATGAAATATGGCATGAAATATTACAAATCAAAAATACATACCCAGAAGTTGGGGGTTTAGACTAACTATCAAACTGGCAAATAATAAGGCGAAATAGGCTACCTTAGTAACCTAGAAAACCAATACTCTTATTAAAAACTATATTGTTACAATATTAATGTGCAATAACTAAAATACTAATTAATATTTACAACAATTACCACAACTGAACTTAAAACTGAACTGGAACTATATACAAAATACTTTGAGAATTCAAAATGGCTGCCATACACTTTACTTATATGCCTATTAATAAACTTGCAAAGCCTAACAGAGCACAATATATACAGACTATTATAATATATAAAACATACCTTTAAAATACAGAACTGATTTAAGTAATCCTCACACAAACAACACAATCCATGATATATGAATAAAATAAACAGTGAAATTTGTAAAATAAAAATTTCCCGCCAAAACCTGATACAGGGAAGAACTGAAACAGTCCTTTCTACATGAAAACTAAAGGCTTAATGACAAAAAGATAGGAAAGTGAGAATGTTCAGAGTGATAAGATCACAATGGTGAGTTGAACAGAAGCTCAACAATGGATAAAGTATAAAGAAGATAGAACATGGTGAACATATTTGAGTTGATTGTTAGTATTTGTGACTATGTGTTCAGTGTGTAATTTTGTAAACCATTAGGCTGAGTTCACATAGAAGTATACTTTTCGGGTATACGGTGCACGTTTTGCACAACACGCGTATACCTAAAATCGAACAAGGTAATTTCATAATATCTGGTCACATAAGAGGACACTAATCGAAAACGAAGTATACCTGCGTATAGTAGAGTATAGTGTAGTTTAGTGAGAATCGTGCTTGATTTTCAAGTAATGTATACAGCCACGGCTAGTAGGATAAGAGCCAAATCTTCTTCGTCTGACGTGTCCATTTGATCGACACAGAAAGAAAGAACCGAGTAGGTCGCACGTGCTGTCCTATGTGATTCGCCGTGTCCGTATAGCGAATACCGAGTAGCGTATATCGAATATCACAAGGGCAGCACGTGCGACCTGCTCGGGGAAATATCAAATGCTTGTACTTACAAATTGGTATTATGAAATTGCCTTGTTCGATTTTAGGTATACGCGTGTCGTGAAAAATGTGCACCGTATACAGTCCTACACACAAACAGGCAGGGTAGAGTTTAGGGTGATATGGTCAGTGAGTTTTATTGTTTTATAATAACATGATAATCAGTGGACTGTCATCACTTAAATTGAAAAGTAAACATTCCTTACTGGGGGTAAGGAATCTGATACTCTCACTATCACATAATGAAATGTTCTAATTTTAGAATCTTGTGAGATTCAACTGGCAAGAAAAATTTAAAGACTTCATAAGGTTTTCACAATATTTATTATAAAGACAAAACCAAAATAAAACACTAAAAAATAATGATACCACACAGCACAGAAAATAAAAAATACAATAATTACATATTTACATTTTTTTCTTGGGGGTTGACGTCACTTGTCTTCTTTTCCTCTGACCCTTTTGAGGTGTAAAAGGTTGTTTTCGTTTACCTATCTCTGATTCAAAAATAACCTCTTCAACTGGCTTGAAGGCATCCAACCCAAAATCATATTCAATTTCCCCGGATATTGTTCTTTTAAGACATGGTACAGACATAAAATCAGAAAGTGGGGCTGAATGACAACCTACTGTCTGGAGATAGTCAATCATGTGCCTGAGGACGACGGGGGAAACACGTCGAAACGTTGCATAAATCTTTAACCAGTGATTGTTGTTCCATAAAGCTGTGCCTATATATAGTCAATCTGTAGTTGGACTAAATTAGCCAAGCGACCTATCACTGAAGATGGAGGCATCTAGTTGTCCAGTTGTCTGCATTACTAACAGTCAGGCCAGCTATTAATCCACCCTGAACACGCCTCTTTCTTTCCATGGTTTTATTTCTGATTTCTTCAAAAGTTGCTGTTTCAGCATTTATCCCTTTCGGACAAAACAGACTCTTAACGAAGTCTTCAAAAACATTGGGGTTCAGAACAATACCCGAGGACAAGTCAATCAAAGAACTGAAAAAGCGGTCATTAAAAAGTATACTTCTATGTGAACTCAGCCTAACGGCCTTAATATCCAGCATGGCAATCGAATTATACCTTTCGTTGTCACCTACAATTCTACTCTTAAAAATGCCGATGTAATTGTCAGACGCTTTTATAAAGAACTCTGGGAAGAATTCCCTGACATCTGTACTAAACGTTTGGTGACTGCTTACAAAAGGAATAAAAGTATGAATAATGTTCTTAACTTTCATTAACTCCCACCGTGCATTTTTGAATTATTTGTTAATCTCTCCAGAAGAAGGTAACTTCATATCAAATTGATATATTCAAATGCTGAAATCCATATTCTCTACTTATGACCGAAACCAGTACTTCTATAAGAGAGTATCTCTTATAAAACCTTGTACCACTGGCTTAAAATGACCAATGTAATATTATATTATATCGAAATCACGAAGAGTCACGTGTCAGATTTGCTATTAGTTTTAAATACAATATTGAAATTATCTCCCATGCACCACATGCTATCTACATCGGTCCATACTGATTAAAAATCAAATTGAAGTCGATAATAACCAGTTTCGTTATTTGAGACACAACGTGTGCATAACCATCCATTTCTTTGATTTTATAAAATGGTACTCAATTAATAATTGATTTTGAAACCTGGAGGTAATTCGGATATCTATATCAAGGTTTTATTGTCTGGTTAAATCCCACAATATTGGGAAGTACATGCATATAAGATAATATGTTCAAAATAGTAAGGGCTGTCTTTGAATGAGCTTCCTCAATTCCTCGTTTCGTCTCTAAATGGTCATATACTGACTATTTCAATTCAGAGGCATTTACTATTTCAATAAACATAACTGAAGCCACTTTGAGTCTGGGTTTAATTGCTTTGAAATCTTACTTGGAAACAGAAAATAGAGGCCGGTGTTTTGAACTAGTCAACGGATAAAGTGCAATTTTGGATCACAAGGGCATATTCCTTTTTATACAGCCCATCTGAATGCATCATTGTCGGCTCTGATTTCATTGATTTAAATTAGTTGTGGTCTATTTCCATTTTTCTGTATTAGTAGGTGGCGCTTCATTTTGTCTTCATTTCTTCCAAAATGGCGACGCGGCGTGTGTTAGAAGACGATCTGAAAAATGTTGAATTCGAAACAAGCGAGGAAGTTGATGTTACTCCAACGTTTGACAACATGGGTCTTAGGGAGGAACTGCTAAGGGGCATATATGCATATGGTAAATATTTGATCTAAGAGGTGTTTGTGGTAACTCATGTTAGCAAGTATGAAAAGAATCGAATGATTGAGCCATGCTTGCGTACCAGTAGAAGCGCATCCCCGAAGAAACGTTTTCCACACGTTTTATTGGATGGTAATGTAATCTGTCTTTAATTGATTAATCCACGATTAATGTAGATCTATTTTCAACTACGAAAGATTTTGATGAATTGTGTAGGCCTAGGTCAAATGTGTGTGGAACTCAAATCTTTGTACTCACACAGAGTCTAGAAAGAGGCAAAAGTATTAGTAAGTAAGGTCATTGATGTGAATAATTATCCATATTAAAGAACATGCAAAAATTTGAATACTTTGACTTTTCTAGGGTTTGAAAAACCATCAGCTATTCAACAGAGAGCAGTGAAGCCAATAACGAAAGGCAGAGATGTGATTGCTCAGTAAGTATCTAGTTTTGATTAAAATGTTAGATTGTAGATCTACTTTTAAAAGGTAAGTTGGTTTACTGGAACAAAATATTTGCGATTTCTTTATATTAAAGTATTGGTCCTGGATGTAATTTTCTATCAGTAAGTCATGTTGATCTGCAGATAGATTTTACAACCAAGCAACACCATTTACCTCACATGTCAGTAAATTTAAGTATTTTGAAATTATTTTCAGAGCTCAATCTGGTACTGGTAAAACAGCCACATTTTCCATAAGCATATTACAAACTGTTGAAACACAATTAAGAGAAACACAAGCTCTTTGTTTAGCACCTACCAGAGAGTTAGCTGTACAGATTCAAAAGGTAAATTGTCCTTCTTGTTGATATTTGAACAGAAATCTACAGAACAGAAAAGGATTAACAACCACTTAAAAATCATAGAATTAATTTGAAATACAATATGATAAATTGTATATTGGTTTGTATTTAGGTTATATTGGCGTTGGGTGATTATATGAATATACAATGTCATGCCTGTATTGGTGGAACAAATGTTGGAGAAGACATCAGAAAATTGGATTATGGTCAACATGTTGTTGCTGGTACACCTGGCAGAGTTTTTGGTAAGAAAAATATTCTTTAAACTGAAACATCAAGGAGAACAGTGTTGATTAAAGTGAACTAACAATATTAATACTTGAAAGTGACTGGAAAACAATATGATTCAAGTTCTGTTTTAATATTTCTATATCACTTTACAATTGATATATTGAGCACTATTGTGTATATCCAACAAAGATGTTTTAAGAATTGACCAGTCCAAAGAATTCAATGATATATTTCAGATATGATTAAAAGAAGGAATTTACGAACTAGATCAATCAAGATGTTGGTATTAGACGAGGCAGATGAAATGTTAAATAAAGGTAATCAAATTTACTACAAGTAGTATAACTGAGGCAATGATGTTATTTCACTAGATAGTAACTGAAATCATTAATGATTTTAATTTGGGAACTGAGCCTCAATCTCATTTCACTTTTTCTGGCAATGCTGTAATTGTATCAAAATGCAAGTAAAAATCCTGTAAGGGGTATATTTGGATCATAATATGTATGATTTCAGTCAGTTTGAATTAGAGCTATGATGTCTAGATAGTAGATATATGATTTTATCAATGAAGTTTTTTGAAACTAACTGAGCTCAATTTTCAACCTTTATACCTTACCAATATATTTTTCTCAAAATCCAATAACACTCGTGATCTAATGTAGATTCTGTGATCACTTATTGTCTTTAATTATTTCCCTGTAGATACAATCGTCTAAAAATTGATTTGAACTAATAGGAATATGTAAGAAATATTTACTGTGGGCTATGATGTCTTGATAGTAGATAGATGATTAATTAATGATATCATTTATAACATGCTGAGCCCAAAATCAATTTCTTCTTAAAACCTCAATACTTTGATATTTGACCCCAGCCTTTTCATTAACTGAATTTGCCAATCATACTGATAATAACTAAAATATGTTTGGCAGCGATCAAATAAAAATGTTTCATCATTTATATTATAGGTTTTAAAGAACAAATTTATGATGTATATAGATATTTGCCACCAGCTACACAAGTTCTACTTATATCTGCTACCTTACCACATGAAATCCTTGAAATGACCAGTAAATTTATGACTGATCCCATCCGAATCTTAGTTAAACGGTAAATCTTTTATTATTTCTATAAAGTTATTGAAAGCAATGATGTTATTTCACTAGATAGTAACTGAAATCATAAATGATTTTAATTTGGGAACTGAGCTTTCAAACAGCATAAAATAATAGTAAACATATCTGTCAGCAAATTGGAATGGAGTTTGCATGGTTAGAGGGTATTGTCTGAAGCAATGATGTTATTTCACTAGATAGTAACTGAAATCATAAATGATTTTAATTTGGGAACTGAGCTTTTAAATGCCATTAATAATAATGAACAGTTCTGTGAGAAAATCAGAAGGAAGTTTAAGCAATGACTGCATATTGCATAAAACTGAGGATATTTTCAACTTGAAAATAGATACAATATTAACATTGCGTTTGTAAATTGTATCATCACTAATGACTATATATTTTCAGTGATGAGTTGACATTAGAGGGTATTAAACAGTTTTTTGTAGCTGTAGAAAGAGAGGAGTGGAAGTTTGATACATTATGTGATTTGTATGATACATTAACTATTACTCAAGCTGTTATATTCTGTAACACAAAGAGAAAGGTACAGTCTTCTATTTGAATTCTATTGATTTTTATGCTCATACAATTATTCATTTAGGTAAATTAAGTTTGATAAAACTTTTCATGTCAAGTAAAGGAAGGAAACAAAATGTTTGTACAAAGGAACTTTCATATTTTCATGACGACCAGGAAATTTTCATATTTTCATGCTTTGCTAAATAGTGTTGGTGTTGTGAACTTGTTTTATGTATAATAACAATGTACTAAATAAAGAGTATCCTATTCAATAGGAGAACGTAAAAATAGGGTATGAAAATGAAATGAATGCAGTTTTACGTCCTACAAAAATAGGGTATAAAATGAAGTAAAATTTTCTTGTAGGTTGACTGGTTAACAGAGAAAATGAGAGAAGCTAATTTTACTGTATCATCTATGCATGGTGATATGCTTCAGAAAGAAAGAGAAGCCATTATGAAAGAATTTAGATCAGGAGAAAGGTAAGTAGCTCCATGAAACTTATTGACTTGAATCAAGTACACAAGTCATGACTTTTCACTAAAGAAATAAAGTTAACGTGATATAATGATCAGGAACATGTACAATTATGTGAACTTAAATGTTTACAGTTGTGAAGAGTTAAGTATATTTTGTAATTGTATTTTGTAGTCGTGTGTTGATAACAACAGATGTATGGGCTAGAGGTATTGATGTTCAACAAGTATCATTAGTCATTAATTATGATCTACCAAATAACAGAGAATTGTACATTCACAGGTAAATATTGTTATAATCAATGTTTGAAGCAATGATGTTATTTCACTAGATAGTAACTGAAATCATTAATGATTTTAATTTGGGAACTGAGCTTCTTACTTGATATGATTTGTAATTTTATTAAAGGATATGATTTGAAATTCCCTGTCAACTTCAGCCAGATTGACTTAATGAATTATTAAATTTGGTCTAAAATGAACTTGACAAGTGGTAAGGAATTTTACCATAGCCATGTGTATTTCTTTATTATAGAATTGGTAGATCAGGTAGATTTGGTCGTAAAGGTGTGGCTATTAATTTTGTGAAGAATGATGATATTCGTATTTTACGTGATATTGAACAGTACTATTCTACACAGATTGATGAAATGCCAATGAACGGTGAGATTATTTCTATTTTAATAGAAAATTGTATTTATTTTTATACGCCCACACGTAAGATGGGCGTATATTGTAATCACCCCGTCGGTCCGTTCACATTTGGCTCGTGCTCACTCTACAGGCTACAGTTCTTTATGGATTCTTTTGATTTTTATTTTGTGTGTCAATGTCATTATGAAGATGATCCCTATTGATTTTCGTGATGATCGGATAATTTTTCACCGAAATATCGTGTCTGACTTGACGTTTTTCTCTATTAGCTACATTGTGCAATTCGTACTCACTCTACAGGCTACAATTTTTTACAGATTCTTTTGATTTTTATTTTGTGTGTCAATGTCATTATGAAGATGATCCCTATTGATTTTCGTGATGATCGGATAATTTTTCACCGAAATATCGTGTCTGACTTGAAGTTTTACTCTATTAGCTATATTGTGCAACTCGTGCTCACTCTACAGGCTACAATTCTTTACAGATTCTTTTGATTTTTATTTTGTATGTCTATGTCGTTATGAAGATGATCCCTATTGATTTTCGTGATGATCTATCGATTTTCATGATGATTGGATAATTTTTCACCGAAATATCGTGTCTGACCTGACGTTTTACTCTATTAGCTATATTGTGCAACTCCTGCTCACTCTACAGGCTACAATTCTTTACAGATTCTTTTGATTTTTATTTTGTATGTCAATGTCATTATGAAGATGATCCCTATCGATTTTCGCGATGATCAGATAATATTTCACCGAAATATTGTGTCTGACATGACGTTTCACTCTATTAGCTATATTGTGCAACCCTGTAGTCACTAAAGACTGTTTAATTATTTCTGACAGCTGCCAGTGGGCGTATGTTACCTTGCCTGGCAAGCTATCTTTTATGTAATATGCTTCTTATTCTCTACAAGGGATTATCTTGGTTATCTCAGATGCCAGGGTTTGGAAGCCACGGTGCCCCACATGGTGCAGAAAAATAGGACGTAAAACTCCATTCATTTCATTTGATTTCAGATGCCAGGTTTCCTATACGACTTTTGCAATATGCTCTTTATATTTCTATGCTGTCATAGACCTAACTGTTATTATAAACTAGTGTTAGGGTGTATTTAGACGAGTCTCAATGAAAGCACTGGCCTAGGTATAAGGTGTTTTTCGAAAACACTGATTCTGACAGTGTAATTATAATAGATTAGTTATAGTGTATACTTATGAAGTTTGATTGTATGTAAATACTTGATTGAAACAAGAAATAATTTTTGTTTCAGTTGCTGATTTGATTTAAAGAAGTGCTGTCCATATAACAGTTGTAAATAGTATCATTATTTTAACATTGTCAGATCATTTTGTATATAAACATTAGACATTTTGACAAAACCTGAATCATTTTAGTGGTCTGTCTGTACATCATGGTTAAATTTATTTGATTTCATTGCTTAGTTCCTTATATATGAAGAATGTAATGGGCTTATTAAGGGAACTCAACTTCTTCATTCAATTTTTCTATTGATATCTGAAAACAGTAATAAATATAAAAGCATTCAACTTTTAGATGTACATAAAGTTCTTTTGTTCTTTTGTTCATCTTGTGTATAAAACATAATCTAAATAAAATTTAGAAATAACTCATATTATTGAATATTTGTGACAAGAGTGAAGTTCAAGCCCCGAAATCCTTGAACTAAAGGGATTGCTTTTAATATATCTAGTTTGTGTTTTATTTTCGTAGCAGTTTGAAAGCTAGAAACATACCTATACTATTTGTTGCATCTTATTCTTATCACAATAATAATTTCTTGATTAGTGCATCTAACATAAGTTGTGCATTGCTGTGCAGGCTTTTACAAAATTAGCAAAGTTTTGGGTTTAATTCTAAGCATAGGGTTGAAAAAGGATGTTCTGATGAGACAATGAACTAAAACTAAAAGAAGTTCAGGTTCAACACCCTCGGACATAATCAAAGAGGAGGAGCTAATTCGATATTACCTATTGTCCACTCAATCCATAGAGTTATGTTTTTATTAGCAAGAATTAGCAAGAAAAATGTATTTCCTCAATCTTTCACATTAAGACAATTGAAACGCAAAGCATTTAATAAAAAGAATTGTTTATTATAAGAAAATAACAAAGTTTAAGTTATTTGATTATTTATATGTACACCAATAAACACCTTTCTTGGTCAAGTCAACAATATTTTAGAGCAGAACATCTTGTGATAGTCAAATTATCTAAGAAAGCAGGTGAGAAAATACCTCGAAATTCAATACAATACATAAATAGTTGGCTACACTAAATATAATTTCTAGTGCAAAATATATATAAAAGTCTAATAAATAATGAAATTCAAATTGGTCTCTGCTTTATGGATTCGTAGGACGAAACTCAGCTAAACACATGTCAAAGACTAGTCTGAAATATTATAGTTTTCCATAATTTACAAAGCCTGAAAAAAGAATTCTAAAATATTCAACCTTCACAACTAAGCAGTTGGTAAAGTAAAAAAAACCTAATCAGCATTGGATTTAAGGTCAAAAGTCTCTTGCACACTTCTTGCATTGAGACCAGAAGAACGCATGTAACCAAGGAACAATGGCACATTATTATTTATAAATTGGTAATTGTATCTACTGACTAAATTGCTAGTCTATAATTTGACATGTATTTAGTTAAGAAATCTGATACTCATTTTCTGTTCTACATCCACTCTCTCCATTGCCTAAAAAAATACACAGTATATAAATAAGTATGTATTAAAGAGATACAGTCTTTGACTATGTCAAACTGGCTCATTACCGTAAATATAATGAGTGCTAGAACTGCTGGTAAACTGCATTAATGTATGACTTACATACACGATAGACCTTCATTGGTGTCTGGTTTCACAGATTTGTTGAGGATGTAGCATTGGCAAAATAATCAATTTCTTTTCAAAATTAAAATCTGACACTCTCCAGTCCATTAACCAATAAATTCTTGACACACATAGATTTGAATAACCAATTTCGATGGTGAGTTGGGAATACTAATACTGATTAGCTCAGCTAAAAAATTCCTGTTTCTGAGACAAAAGTATGATTGATAAAAAAAAAATGGTGCACTAGTCCCTTTATAAGGAAAATATAAATTACCTGAACAAATTCATCAAAAGATATTTGATTATCTTTATCAAAGTCAACTTCCACTATAGTTCTATCAGCTATACTTGATAACTATAAAATATTAACAAATATTCAAATTATTTCTTAATACATCATGTATCATTCTTTCAAGATTAACAATCTGGAGCCTTGTTCTTCAAAATCTAGACTTTTCTTAGTTCATGATGATCAGATATGCCCTGATCTTTTACAGCTGGTTAATGAGGCAATATCCCTTCAACATATTAACAGCTATTACTTTTATGAAAAGTATTCTACATATTCAACCATGTACTGTTTTATTTGTGACAAATTTACAAGCTTGATTATACCTGTTCTTCTGATATATTGGCACCAACCATCATGTGTAAAACAGCTAATAATTCTTCTTTAGAAATCCTCTCATCTCCATCTAAATCATACATTTTAAATGCAACTGAAAAAGTAATAAATGTCATATTACTGGTGTATCAAATAGTAAATCTAACAGTGCAAGAACTGCTGCAAAAGTGGCACTAGTATTTGACTGTTTTGTTCTACACTATAATATTATAATAGATCTTCTAGTAACTTTGATGTCAGATGAAAACAATGTCCGATTGGTCAAAAAAACACAGATGCCCTGTGACATACATAAACACAAAAAGTTACTTATTTTAACAAAGCTTATTGAAAAAGATGGCCTGCCAGTCAAGGTACCTGTACACTTATTTCCTATTCTATCTTAGGAATTTCTGTTATTCAAGGAGTAACTTCAGAGTAAAGTTTGACAACTAAATATTTTTTCTCTTGCCATATAAAAATTCTTACATTTGAGTTTATCTTCTCGTGTGTTAATCTTATTTTTCTCTGGATTTGTTTTTATTGGTCGAAATCTTCCTAAAACTCTCATAAACTGTTTAAAATTCACAGTATCATCATTACTGAAAAATATAAATATTATATAACAAATTTCCACCAAGTGGCTAGATATACATCAAAAGTAAGAATACGACCCACGCAATTCTCAAGTCCACAGAATTTTTCTTTTATTTTGCTCTTAAGGATCCTAAGTGCCTGAAATCAATGTGAAAGGTTATACAGGCAGCATAGTGTTATTTCTGAGCATGATATCCCTTTAACCCCATAGATACCTAATATCAAAGTTACCTTTCTTGAAAAAATGCATGTACAATTCTATCTCCCAGTGGATTTATAGCCAATTCAGGAATTCTCAGGAAATCTTCTCGACTGAAATGTTATTGAATCAATAAATACAATCATGTAGAGTAAAATAATTTATGACTCATATCTTATTCCTCTAATAATCTTCTAATATTAGTGGTCAGAGCAAAGGGTTTTTAAGCAGTCATTTGTTGGTTACGAAAAGACGTTAATAAATCTGGTGACCTTGTAAAAATCATAAATCATAATTCTGCCATTTGCTACTATTGAATAGCTCATTCTCATGATGAAATTATTGGGGAAGTATCCTGGAGAACTTTATTATTTATAGAATGATCCTCAGTCATCTCAAATATTTAACCTGGCCAGTCAGCACCATTTTCACAGTTTATTAAGTAAATATAAACATAAGTGAATCTATTTGTTTTAACTATTTCGATAATGAAAACATTGTCCTACTGATTTTGATATCAGTCATAAAAGTGGCCACAATACTTAAAATAAATTTCAGAACTGAAACAGTGGAATTTTGAATCAAAAGTATGGAATTTACGGAAGCATATTAGGGCCATTCATTTTTTTTTTTTTTTTTTTTTGAATTTTCAAGTTCGAGATACTAACTTGAAAATTCAAGATACAAACTTGAAAATTCAAGTTACTAACTTGAAAAATCAAGTTACTAACTTGAAAATTCAAGATACTAACTTGAAAATTCAAGATACTAACTTGAAAATTCAAGATACTAACTTGAAAATTCAAGATACTAACTTGAAAATTCAACATGCTAGCTTGAAAATTCAACATACTAACTTGAAAATTCAAGTTACTAACTTGAAAATTCAAGATACTAACTTGAAAATTCAACATACTAAATTCAAGAAACTAACTTGAAAATTCAAGATACTAACTTGAAAATTCAAGATACTAACTTGAAAATTCAACATACTAGCTTGAAAATTCAACATACTAACTTGAAAAATCAAGTTACTAACTTGAAAATTCAACATACTAACTTGAAAATTCAACATACTAACTTGAAAATTCAACATACTAACTTGAAAATTCAAGATACTAACTTGAAAATTCAAGATACTAACTTGAAAATTCAACATACTAGCTTGAAAATTCAACATACTAACTTGAAAATTCAAGTTACTAACTTGAAAATTCAAGATACTAACTTGAAAATTCAACATACTAAATTCAAGAAACTAACTTGAAAATTCAAGATACTAACTTGAAAATTCAACATACTAACTTGAAAATTCAACATACTAGCTTGAAAATTCAACATACTAACTTGAAAATTCAAGTTACTAACTTGAAAATTCAACATACTAACTTGAAAATTCAAGTTACTAACTTGAAAATTCAACATACTAACTTAAAAATTTAAAAAAAGTAAAATTGAATGGCCCCAAAACGCTTCCGTAGGAATTAGTACAAGAATTTTATTGTTTACAATAGTTAATATGACCTACTATTTCTCATACATACCTTAAAAATCCATTATTACTTTTATCTAAACTAGTAAATCTACTATATAATCTGGCAATTTGACTCTGGGAAACTAAAATATACATAATTCATAATAATACTTAATATAATAATATAATAATATAATTTCTATCATTTTCAACATACCACTATGTCAATGGCCAAATTTATTGTTATGTATGATAGCTATTGTCTTCATTTTATATTCTTATTTTGTGAGAAATCAAGATATTTAAAGGCCTTGCCTTATTACTGACAAAATTTTAAGATTCTGTCATTGAATAGAACCTTTTAAATTCTTAAATAATTATAATTTACAAAGAACTACGATTAAATCAATTAGTTTTTATCACAAGCTTCTTTTATTTGAAATTAAATTCTCTATTTCCAAATTCAGCCATTTTTAATTTCCAAATTATTTGTCCACTGTATCTTTTATTTATTCTGTCTGTGATATCTTTCAAAGATTTTGCTTTTCATAAAAGAAAAAAAAATGTGGCTCTGTACCACTGAGTAGGCTACATTATGACTCTATCAGGTTTTTTCCCCTAAAAGGAAGGGAAGAAAGGAAGCCTAGGACACTAAGCTATTTAATATTTTCATCTACATCATCTATCCTAAAAGATGTTCAGATCAAAATATTTTAAAAAGTAAATATTTCAAATCCCACTCCACAATGAAGAATGACACTTATATTGGTATATTAAAGTGTAATTTGATTTGCATGATTAAACAAGAAATGTCAATGAAAGCTTCCTACTGATTTTTAATATCCTATTGAAATTAATAGTTTTTTAATACGTTAGTGTTAATTTAGCTTCAGGCATTTTATTTCATTTTAATATCACCTTTGGTTTCAATTGACCAAGTTTGATTTTGGCTTAAGGTTAGGAATAATGAATTGGTTAAATTTGACAAAATCAAGCGAACTAAAAGGACATGAAAAAAAGAAAACTAAAATTCGATATCAAATCCCGGTCACAAAGATGCTAATCTATAGTTAAATAATGGAACACAATTTTATGGTATACTACTCCTTAGTTTTATTACACACTACGTTTCAACAATCTACATTGTGATCATCAGGTGAAGTGAGGAAATATGGTACAAGAAGGTATATATATACACAAAAAACATTAGCAATAGTCAATTAATGTCACTAAAGGATAAATCTATAGTTAATTAACCTCCCAAGACTGACAACAGAATGCATTCACCAATTGTTCATAGGTAATGATTATATTTGCCTTGGAGAATTTTCAAAGTGTCATGTGAACATATGACTAGGGATGTGACTGTGTTTGAATAGCCCTCTAAGCCCTTGAAACCTGCAACCCCCCCTAAACCAACTATTTCCATCAGTATGGTTGGATGCCGGTTTAGAGAGGAACAAATGATGATCAATCCAAACACATTTCGAATTAACTAAAAACAAAGTTACTTTTCTACATGATGCCATAAGTTATGGTTCATAACATCTTTTAATTCAGAAGATTATTTTTATTATATTACATTACATTAAAATAGGATTTTAAATGGCTTTATGCAGGATGTCCTGTTAATAGAATACTAGTCACTTAGTTTATTGGTCTTCTATAAATAGCTACATGACCCTTGGTAAACAATGATTCAGTACATTAATAATCCATCCATAGGAATAAAGATAAATATGAACTAACTAACAGTAGGCTACTATCTGATGTTCATTATTCTTTAAATATACTTATAATAGCCTCAATATCTAAGTGTGGTATCTGTAATGCTAATAATATAATTATAAGCTTATATTTTGGGTAAAAATGTCTGTCAAACATAGGCCTAACATCTTCTAGAATAATGAAATAAAGATTTTCTGTATTAAGCAATAGCATCCTTTATGCTTAATGTTTTTTGTAACATTCTCTTTCTAACGATAATCAACAGTTGAAAA